GTGTTAGCAACATCTGTAGAGGAAGTGAGGAAGCGGGCACAAGGGGGAAGGTAAACATCCTTCTTGTTCAGTGGCGTATCATTTATCTATAAAAACACACATTGTCCAAACGTTTTAATTGTAAAAAAAAAACTAAAAAAATTTGCTAATTTTACTATTTTTAAAATGAATACCGTCTTCTATGTGTCTAATGCAGGAAAAGAAACAAAATCACTGTAAAGGTCTAATTTTTTCAATTGAAGAATAAAACCTTAAAATCAATTTTATTATTAATACAGGAGCGACTAGTTTCGGCCTTACAGGAACATCTTCAGGCCTGTAATACAATAATATTTAATTATTATAATAGGTTGGTCGCTTACGAATAACATTAAATAGTATAAACCACAAAAATGGATCCATATTGTAGCGTTACAGCATTTTAGACTTAAAGCTGTGAAAATAAAAGAGCAGTGCAAACGTAACTAAAAATAAGAAAACTGATTACGGAATCTACAAGAGAAGAGGTGAGAATGAGCAATTACGAATGCATTTAAATTGCTCGGGATAACAAATAAAGCTGATAATGTAGTGGTATAGTCAAAGAAGGTCTGGATATGTTAAAGAGAACGGCGTTTTCTCTGTAAATCTGGAGAATGTAAGGATGGAGGGAAGACAAATCTTGCTGGCTCAGGTGTAGATGGCTAGAAAAAGGAGCGTGTAGATGAAAGATCCAGTAAATATAATCAATTTCGTCTAATTTTTTATTCTCACTCACCGTTTCGGCTTTATCTTAGAAATTCATTTTTAAAAGGAAATAAAAGTAATCATTCATACAAGCATATAATAAAACAACATGAATTCATTATATTTAATAAGCTAATAAACGTTTGTTTCAATGAAAAAAACATATGTGAGTATAAAAAATATGTAAATTAATATCAAAATCAATTTGAAAATACAACAGATATAAAAATGAAATAAATTAGTACAAGTACAAATAGAAAGTTAATAACACCTTCTAAAAGTAATACATTTTAAGTAGATAAATGTTTAAAGAGTTTATTCCTGAACATAACTAATCTAACGTTTTTCCCCTTTTTAATATTATGAGGGTTTTTGTAGTTGAAATGAAAATTATAATTTATTTTGCTCCTAATAAAAATTTAAACATAGGTTATCAAAGAGTAAAATTCATAATAGAACTTCATAATCTTAAATCGTTATCAAAAATTATTAATGGTAAAACTTCAAACAATAGATTCTTAAACAAATTTCTAGTTTTTGTTTTGCAAAAGACTTTTTTGCCTTTTATTTTAGTAGTTTCGAGGAGAATTTTCCTGTGGAAACCAGTAGAACCATCAATTGGTTGGTTAAATTTTGATATTTTGAGTCTGGTAAGTCTTGTTAAACTTTCTTCTTAGGAAGCTATAACCTTATGGAGAATAAAAATTTTATGTTAGATCAAAAGCTCTTAATTGAGAATTATATTTGCAAAGGCCGTTTTAATAATATTTTCAAAAGTTCTTGGAATCGTTGTTAACAGAAACCTGCAAAAAAATATATAATTTTATTCCTAAAATATAAGATATATCACACAATGCACATTCATATAATATCATTGTTCTAGAAAAATACTAGGTAGTTACTGAGACAATTTAAAAAAAGTATTTCAAAAAACTCAACTTTTAATGTCATCATTGTACTTAACTTTTTATTGCTAAATTATTAATGTCATTTTGTGTAGTTCGTTGTGATTTGTATAATATATATTATAAAAAACTATCATCAATGTTAATGTGCCAAGTTTTTTTAATAATCATGTCCTTGTTATAGTAAAAACACATTTAACCACATTTTTAAAGTTTTCTGGATTTCTGCTTTAAATTATCGTACAATTGAACTGACTAATTGTGAGTTTAAGTAAAGGTATATCTCTTTTTTGTTTTAACAGTCTTTGTATATTGTTCTGACTTTTTAGATAATCAGAGAAAACAGTTAGACATCTCTTAATATATCCTATTTTTACCAACAAAAATGTAGAATAATTAATCTCACATCAAACGAAAAAAGTAATTTTAGGGTGTCCTAATAGGTTTTAACTTAAAAACTAAATAAAATGTATATTGCAACTGTGTTTAAACAAATGAATGTTTTTATACCTGACTATAGCACCAGACAAACATTTTTTTAGATCATAATGATCTGCATAACTCAAAATAGTCAAAATCCACATTATTTAAGTTGTTCTAGTATTGTTTTAGCATAACGATGTTAACTCCAATAATAAATATTCATATTTTTTTGGGACGTTTTTAAGGAAATTAAAAAAAAACATGAATAATGTGATATTCTTGTTTAGTTGTGTACTATATAATATAGTTCATTAGGTAGTGATTTAGAAGAAAATTATGTTCTATTTATAGAATAAAAAATCACTCATAATATCTAAATATTTATACCTATTTATATTTTGGACTATTTTATGTTGTTGGCTCTGAATAGTTTTCTTAAGAATTTTAAACTTCCTTAGCTCTTTTGGGATATTCCATGCATATCTTAGAAGTTCATTTTGTTTAAACCTAAAACAAATTAAGTACAAAAAATGAACATATAAACAATACACAAAATTAGTCTTTTAGATTAGTTAAAAAAAAGTGTCAACAAAAAAATGGCTATGCCTTGTTCCTTAAACATTCTTTTTGAAAGGAAATTAAGTTTCTCTACTTACTTGCTGTTTTAGTATTTTAGTAGCAGATGAATATAATGTAGAAGTAGTGACAGGATTGATTATTATACTTCCTTCCTCGAAATTGCATTTTTCTTTAATATTTTCCTTCCCTGAGGTCTGTAATAAAAATGTTCATTAGCATAAAAAGTTATTCAGGTGGTCACTTGTTGAATTCCTATATTTTGGAACCATGTATTTCTTTTTCATATCAAGAAAAGGAAACCTAAAAAAAATAACAATAAACTTTACAAAGATGTGATATTAAAATAATAATAAGTAATTAACCTTTACTATAATCATTATGAGACGAATGAAGACGAACTTAGCTGGAGTTTACTTGCTCTTAATTTTAATAAGAAAATAAGAAAGTTTAATTGCAAATTAAAGGTGATTGCCTAATGCACCGCCTCTGATAATTAGGTTGTGTCTGTACTTACTTATGATATTATCTTGAAGAAGCATTTTCAACAGGCCTTTTACACATAAAGCATGTTTTCACCATATTATTAGAGATGATAAATCTTAAATATACATTTACAACCCTTACAACGTTATAAATAATAATATTTTCCGTAAAATACAAATAAGAAATTGACATGTGTCAGAAAGTGTCAGAACTGGCGCTCACAGAACACTTCTGCCGCTGTCAAACTTGGCAACGCTGATTAAATAAGCCAATTACAGAAGAGGTATTTTCCCCCTCGAGGGGAGTAGATGTTGCTAACAAAATTTAGCGCGGGGAAGGGGGGAAGACTCCCTCTAGTAGTAATTGCTCGGAGGTTATAACAGTCCAGTGGTCAAGTTTTACACTATAAGAAAATATACAGAACGGATTTTTTAATGCCCTGTATAATAATTATTTCTTACACGTAGACCACGAGTTGTAAAAGCTAATGCCACATTAATGAAACCATTGAAAACAAAAGTGGGAAGGCATCTCTTATTGGTGATACGTTTAGTTATTTACATCAAGCCTCTAAATTAACTTCATAACTTTCATAAAAAATTGTCAGTGACTTGTTACAATCTTTACATATCTCAATTTATAAATTATACAGTATCCCATGTCGTGCTTTCCTCCATCTGATTGTTGTCCAAATCCATGTTACGATCCATGTTTTTCATGTTGTAACCCGTGTTGGCCTTGCAGACCATGTCCGTGTCCTCCTCCGGAAAAGCTAGCCATACCGTTCTCGTTTCCTGATCCTCCAAAGAAGAAAGGCAGAGGAAGGAAAGGTAAAAAGGGCAAAGCAGACAAGCAAACTTCAACGACAGCTATACATAAAGCAAATATATCGCTCGGTGATCCTTGTAGAATATGTAAACGTTGTACATGTGAATGTCCGAAACTAATACCACCGTGTTATGTAGGCTGCTGTGCTGTGTGTCCTAGCAGCGGATGGCCGTGTCCCCCTCCTTGTCCTCCTCCATCTTGTTCATGCACTAAGTAACAAAAATGACGTATAATGTAAAATTAAAGTAGAAAAGCTAAAAAAAAAACGCAAAAGTGAAACTTATAATATATAAAAAAAAAAAATTATTGGTAATAATAAAAGGGTTATTTCTATTCCGTAATTTGCTGATTTTATTTTAAAATAGAAAAAATATAGGTATATTAAACTAAGAAAGCAGGTACTTGAAATACGTATACGGTACTCTATCTTATATTTTCCAAATCAACCTCTAGAAAGTCACTTACAATAAACAAGCGGTAACTTTTAATTACACAGTCGCCATTTTAAAGCCTTTTATGAGCTATTTCCACGAAGATTGTAAATTTAAATCAAAGTAGTTTGACAGGGTAAAACAAACATGGGACTAAGGCCAACGTTCACCAAATCATAAATTTTCTTTTAGAAGATCTTTAGTCGCTAATAAATCTTTTCATGACTGCTGTGTATTTCGCAAAGGTCCTCACAAAATATCTTTTTGTGAGGATTTTTAAAATCTTAAATATTCAAAACAGAATTGACGAAGAGAAAACACTGCATATATGTTTTAATTGTCTATATAGTAGGCATCAAAGTTCTGGTTGTAAATTTGGTGAGGGTAGGTGTGGAAAAAAAATCATACACTCTTACATGTCGATGCAGAAAACCTTCATATTTCTTCGAAAAATATGCCATCTAATTCAAGCAATCAAGTAAATGTACTGTCGAGTAACATTAATCATAATCTATGTTTATTATCATCTGTTATTGTCCAAATTCATGATAGTTGTCATTTTGAACAATGGTTCTCAGTCTAACTTTATTTTTATCATCTCGGATATTTCCGTGACAGGAATTACTCAGATTACGTCAAGCATCAAGTATAAATGCACTTTATCAATAAATTCATTGAAATCTTCTTTCTCAACTTCAATTAACTGCTTAGTTACATCTTCTATATGTGACCAGGTTCCAGGTTCACCAATTGAAGTTTCTTCTTTGTACATACCTTCGTTTATCTGATCCAAATTCTAAAAAATGCAGGGATCTTTTATGTGCAGGACAAATAAAATTAGGTTCACAGAAACCTGTTTTTCAAAAAAACAAGATTTGGCTGGGTTATCTCGGTCCCTTTGGCCAAATTACCTTCACAAAATTTAATTTGTCATCTTTCTTAAAATGTCAATCCTGATCTCTCAAGGTTTTGGGAACTAGAAGAATGTTTTACAAGTCAGGTTCTCTCCAAGGAGGAGTTATATTGCTGCTAGCTTTCTGGCTACCCAAGTGCTTAGTACAATTGTCCTCAAACTTGCCCACAATCTTCCAAAATTATTGCAAACGATTTTTATGTCGACGATCTGACTCCGTCTTAAAACATATTTTAAATGAAGATTGTTTTTCTCTTCGAAAGTGGGTTGCCAATAATTCATCAGTGTTGGAAAGCATTCAAAGTTCGTCATCTGCTTCTGACATATCTTTCTCTTTGGGTTCGACATTAGGTCTTCGATGGTCACTCATATCCATTTGCATCGATATATTTGTTGTGTGCATTCTCTCTATCAACTCAAAATTAAGAGGTCTGATAAGTGTGAACTCCTTGAAGGAAGAACAAAACATTTCAAGAAAAAAATTCATTTTATTTTAACATAAATAAATCTACAACTTTATTTAACACTTTCCTAAATGAATTCGTGGCTTACCGATATTACCACCAAGATTTACCGACGTAGGATTCTTACCGATTTTTATATCTGGCATGCCAAATGTGAACTTTGGACAACAACCCGAACATGTATTAGAAGTGGTATATGTTTCAATGTCTAATGAACAATCGGGCTTTTTGATGGAATAACAATATGGAGTAGGGTTTTCACATGATTTGTGAACTTTAAATTTTCCACAACATCTACATCGTGTTGCTTTTAATTTAGAAGTACAAGGGGTATTACATGTTTTATATTTTTTTTGATTAACGTCTATATCAATGTATTGATAATTAGTTTGGGGTTTAACATTACAATTATTTTTAACTCTTTTTTTCTTTACTTTTGTTTCTGGAAAACAAGGTTTTGGTTCACATTTTTTCTTTAAAGTACACGGTGGTATGACTGCATTACAAGGTACTTTTAAGGGACATGGATAGCAAGGTTCCATCGTACAACATGACGAAGGTCTACAAGAACAATAAGTACAAGGAGGTATTGATCCACAAGGATTTTTCGAAGGACAAGATGGAAAAGTCCAGCAAGGGCTCCTTGGTTTACAAACTCTCGGCTTACAAGGTAGTAATTTCATACAACTTTCTTCTCGTTTCGGTACGCATCTTCTGAGAGGTAAACAATAAGAAGGTACTGGTCTTTTTCCTCCACACGATTTATTTTTACATTCTTTTACATCGTAAACTGTCGATTTGTCAGTACGAGCTGTACACAAAGCAGATATCTTAGCTTCGGCCACTTTACTAACGGCTTCTACACTTTTTGTTTCGCAAATACAAGAACACTGAGTTGCTGTGGTAGCTAGTTTCTTAAACTTTAGACACGAGCCAGGACATTCTTTAAATCTTTTGAGACAGGGTGTAAGTCTATTTCCTTTAGTAGGATCAAAGCAAAACGATATATTGCCTGGCTGAGATGCATTGCTTGGCTGAGATGTATTGCTTGGCTGAGAGATATTGCGTCGCTGAGAACCATTCCTTAGCTGCCTTTCAGTTTTCTTAACATCTTTAGCTTGTGAATTTCGGTCAGAATTAATTTTTTGTTTAGATTTCGAGGTACTGGGTTTTTCGTTTTTATTTTTTAAACACGAATAACGGCCATCGCTACTCCCTGAAGCAACTGTTGAATTTAATGAACCAGACTGCTTACTACTGGAAGAGTAACTGATGGAGGAAAGACACGATGGACATTTTTTGCAAGATTTGCAAGATTGGGGACGTTTCATAGGACATTTTTTACTTTAAATTTTGATCTTGAAAGATTGTCATGAAGTTGACATAGACTAGAAAGAAGGAAGCGAATCGGCGTACTCGAAATACGATTCCAAAAACGAACGATAATTAAGATTTTACAATTCACCGCAGGGGCGCTGGTGTTGCTAGTGATGTTAAAAATACCTACATGTCTTTTTATGGGAATTTTACATAATTTTGTAAAAATAAACTTGTTTATTTCAAAATAAAGCCCAGAAAATATTTAATTCTAAATAAGTACAATTTTGTGGCAGTTTAGGAGTTGAAAACGGTTTTTTGCGGCGAAACGTGAGCTCCTAGCGAAAAGTGTTTAATGCAAAAGTTGTAAATAATGAAAAAATCTACAACTTTTGTATACGACGTTTTTCAACATAACCTCAAATTTTCCGAGAAACTGGCGAAAAACCGAATTTTCACGTTTTAATTTTTTTTCTAGCGTAAAAATAATTTCATTTACATGAAATTTGGTGAAAGTGAAACTTTTTTAGTGTTAAATAAGCATGAATTTTTTGAGTTTTGAGAAACGAGTAGTTTCCGAGATATTTACATTAAACAAAAAATACTCTAAACTTCCATGGAAAACTTTACTGATTTTTTTTTTCTATTTCAAGGTTTTATAAGGGTTTATTTTAACCGTTGAAATGTCTACTTTTAGATGGTCTATACATGTTGATACTTTATTTTTAATGGAATCAATAAAAATTAAGAAAAACTAAAAATGAATATTTTTGCATCAGGAAATTCTCAATATTTTTAATTTTTTTTGAAACTCTTTAATTTTTTGTATTCTGTTGTTTAATAATAAGTCCGCGATCATAGAGACGTTTTTACAGCATGAATGTAACGTCTCATCTTGTTAATCTTGAAATGGGAGTATAGTCTTATCCTTTTAATTATTTTCATTATTATAACATTTAAGTTCATCAAATTTCTAGAGGTGTTCGACGCCCAGACAGAGAACGCGCTACGTGTGACTAAGATAGCTATTGTACAGTCTGCTAAACAAGTTATTTTAAATAGTTTTTAATATTTTTAGGTAATTAAATTTTAAAAGTGTGGAATAGTTTAGGGATTAAATTGGTCTGATTGGACTTTCTTAGAACGTTTTCAAAAGCAGCTAAAGATTGTATGTAGAATTGAAAATAATTATTATGCCATAAAAGGTGTTTTGGAATTCCTTCAACCTTTTGAAATTGAGTCAGAAAATATAAATTTTATAGGATAGCGGAAAATACCTATAATTTTTTTTGTAGGCCTTTGTAAATCGTGGAAATAGTTTATATTTTATTTCTACCTTATTAAGGAAAATGGTACCTATTATTAATAACGGTTGTTTCTGAAACATTACTAAAATTTTCGAAATTTTGTTTTTCTACAAAATAATAATACTATTTAGAAAAAAATTTATTTCTCTTATAATTTTATAAAAAATAACAGGGGAATATTTACATTTCTTGATCTATTAAACAAAACGATAAATTATCTCGATGAATGACACCATGTTCTAGTACGGAAGCTAGCTTTACATTTTTGTTGGTGGTTTCATGGGTTTCATATCAATTTTTTGTAATTGTAGTTTACACGTACATATACCTCTTAACACTTGTTTGCTTTATTAAAAAAGTGTGTTGTTGTGATTTACGTCGAAATAAGTCAAAAACAACTTGAAACCCCATATAAAATCAAAAAGGAGAAACGGAAAAAAATTGAGCCTGTAAATGAACACAACTCGGAAACAAAAATAGCTATCTAATAATAAAAAAATAAAATTTGATTCTTGTGCAGCTTCATCTATATCATTAAATGTTTTTGGTTTTTTAATGGTTTTTCTTGGTGATGAAAATTCCGATATCTCACGGTTATCGATTCTTTTTTTCTCTCCAGAAATGCGGACGACAGTGTTTTTAGATACTCCTGTGGCTGCAGCAACACGATCATTTACATTTTTAAATAGTATTGAAGGTGAATTAAAGTTTCCTTCTCTTCTCATAAACTCTATAACATTGGCTATTATTTCGCGAGATTGACTGTTAATCACGCGGCCTCTTAATTTGCTATTAAACTCCATACTTAGGTTCTATTAAACTGTAATGAGCAAAAAACACAAACGAAAATAAAAGAAATGTTTTAGCGAAATTTACATCTGACATTTACGTCTGAATGAAATAGTGAAATACTTGATGCGCAGAGTGTACTTTCATTGCGTAAATCCGTCGGGATGCCTGTCAGTAGTGCTTTCTCTGTCTAGCCGTCGAAAGCCTCTAGAAATTTGATGAACTGTATGCTTATCCAGCGCAAAGCACGATACTTTTATAATCTTTGACACTATGTAACAGTTGATGTCAAATTTTGTCACCTATAAGTCAATTATTTATAACTTTTCTCATTACTATCCATCATTTTGAAAATTGAGTATGAAGTTAAATAATGTGGGATTCATTCTTAGATAGAACTACTCAATCATGCGGCCACTTGAATCAAAATTCGTCGTCTTACAGGCACTTGAAAACCGATATTTTTTCCGTTGAATCCCTCAATTACATTCCAAAAGAGATACTGTGCCATTTAGACCCATTATATATGAAGGATACATCTAAATCGAAAGTGAGTACCAAAAAGGTAGATACAAAATCCCAAAAAAGTAGTTCAGGCTCGAAGCAATGTGTTCCTGTTCCTATATACTACAAATTTAATACCGAAATTACTGATAAGAGATGTAGAGCGGTCAGCGCTCCAGCTTGTAGAAGAATTAAAGATTGTAAATGTGGACCTAAAAATGGCAAATTGACTGATTTTGATAAGCTTTCCAAAACCTTAGAAAAACTTATACCAGAGTCATCGGAACAGCAACCAGAAAATACGCTTCATTCTTTATCACAAAAACTTGGTAAATATAAATTTACATTGAGTTTTTCAAAGTAATTTTAGTCCATCTGAAACATTTTAAAATACTTATCATTTTGGTTGATTGCTTGTTGTAGAAACTGTTAAATAATAATATTAGACCATAAATGAATAAATTATACAAATTTTGCCTCAAAAATTAGTTTAACCTTTTGTTTACATTTTATGTGGCATCATTGCATAATTTGATAAATACAGTATTGCCAGATCAATTAGAACATCTCGCTGATCATTTTTAGGTTGCATACAATTAATATAATTAATTAAGAATATTTATCTTTAGAGCACCGTAAAGAATGTGATACATCGTCCGAAAAGAAACCCATAATTTTTCCTATTCTGAAAACAACTGATATTGGAGACCTATATATGTTAAAAGAGAAGGAACATAATGCTATCAAACCCACAGAAACTTTAAAACTCAGAAAACCTTGCGATAAACGCGTTTGTGGTGAAAAATACTTTCAACAGGATCGACGAAGTTTGCCGTTTTTCTGGCAAACCTACTGGGTAATTTATTTTAGTAATCTATTCTATTGTTTGGGTACTTGGTATTTGGGTACAATGCTCCCTTAATCTTCTTTAGAACGGTAAACAAATATACTAATCTGTGGCATTACGGAAAAGATGGCATTACATATTTTACAGCTCGTCTATACCTCGAAAGTTTCAATAAAAAAGGACCTTTCTCCGAATATTTGCTAATATTGGCCACTTATCGTCACACTTCGATATGATTAAGAAACGTTTAATATAACGATACAAAAATCAAAATAAACCGTTTTTCTGGCAAACCTTCTGGGTAATGGGCCCGTTCACTTTTATTTTTGAATGTGAATTATTTATATATTTATAAAGATATTAAACTCTTTTGTCTGGTGGTCCTTTTCCCGTTAAGATATTTTGGCTAGAAGTAAGGGAATTCCCATAAAATTCTTTCAGTGACTCATTGCGTCAGAAAACCCCTAATTCCCTTCAGGTCTTGTATCGGTTAATAGTTAAAAGGGCGCGGTTGTCGGATGTATCATTGCACCACCATTCCTCTTCTGCATTTATTAAAGAAATTTACATGATAAAAATATATTATTTTTTAAAAATAATGTGTTTATATTTTCAGATAAAGCTGGAAGCCTTACCTTTTTTAAATTTTAATAAAAACAATTAGTATTACTCAAGCTGAATATTACCAGATCGAAATTTTATTTGAGAAAATGTATCTGGTAAACGTGAAAACGTTGTAAGTACTTCTAAATAGTGTTGTCTACCACTTGTAGAAATAAATGCAACGTTGCCACGTTTACCAGATAAATATTGTAAATCAAATTTCTACTTTTTGATTATGGTCTAGTTAATTTTCAGCTGAGTAATAATAATTGTTTTAATTAAAAAGTAAAAAATAAGCTCCCAGCTTTAAATCTGAAAATATAAGTTCATGATTTTTAGAAAAATAATGGAATTTTACTATTTAAATTACATATATAAATGCAGAAATGCTATATTAGGGATACTTCCGACAACCTCGCCGTCTTTAAGCATAACCGATACGAGACGTGAACGGAATTAGGGATTTTCTGACGCAATGAGTCACTGAAAGAATTTTATGGGAATTCCCTCACTTCTAGCAAAAATATCTTAACGGGAAAAGTACCACCAGACAAAAGAGTTTAATATCTTTATAAATATATAATTAATTCACATTCAAAAATGAAAGTGAACGGGCCCAATCCATTATATTTTATTTGGTTACAAATATTGAAAATTTTCCTAATTATGTGTTTACTTGCCATTTTTGTGTAGCTACGATTAAACTCGAAATATATCGATAGAGGGCCTCTGGGAAAAGAACAAAAGTCGATGCTGGCTTGAATGAACAGAAAATTTATTAAAAAACGAACAAAAAATATAATTATAAAAATTAGTTCAAATTCAAGAAATAAAATAATATTTAATTTTTTGTGGAACTTCTTAAAACAATCGTCTCTTTACAGGCTGGGCAGAAATAACGCGTTTCCCGGCGTTTTTTTGCTTGGGTACATAAACGACATTACAGTTCATCAAATTTCTAGAGGCTTTCGACGGCTAGACAGAGAAAGCACTACTGAGAGGCATCGGTTGGCGGGGCCGACGGATTTACGCAATGAAAGTACACTCTGCGCATCAAGTATTTCACTATTTTATTCAGACGTAAATGTCAGATGTAAATTTCGCTAAAACATTTCTTTTATTTTCGTTTGTGTTTTTTGCTCATTACAGTTTAATAGAACCTAAGTATGGAGTTTAATAGCAAATTAAGAGGCCGCGTGATTAACAGTCAATCTCGCGAAATAATAGCCAATATTATAGAGTTTATGAGAAGAGAAGGAAACTTTAATTCACCTTCAATACCATTTAAAAATGTAAATGATCGTGTTGCTGCAGCCACAGGAGTATCTAAAAACACTGTCGTCCGCATTTCTGGAGAGAAAAAAAGAATCGATAACCGTGAGATATCGGAATTTTCATCACCAAGAAAAACCATTAAAAACCAAAAACAGTTAATGATATAGATGAAGCTGCACAAGAATCAAATTTTATTTTTTTATTATTAGATAGCTATTTTTGTTTCTGAGTTGTGTTCATTTACAGGCTCAATTTTTTTCCGTTTCTCCTTTTTGATTTTATATGGGGTTTCAAGTTGTTTTTGACTTATTTCGACGTAAATCACAACAACACACTTTTTTAATAAAGCAAACAAGCGTTAAGAGGTATATGTACGTGTAAACTACAATTACAAAAAATTGATATGAAACCACCAACAAAAATGTAAAGCTAGCTTCCGTACTAGAACATGGTGTCATTCGTCGAGATAATTTATCGTTTTGTTTAATAGATCAAGAAATGTAAATATTCCCCTGTTATTTTTTATAAAATTATAAGAGAAATAAATTTTTTTCTAAATAGTATAGTTTATTATTTTGTAGAAAAACAAAATTTCGAAAATTTTAGTAATGTTTCAGAAACAACCGTTATTAATAATAGGTACCATTTTCCTTAATAAGGTAGAAATAAAATATAAACTATTTCCACGATTTACAAAGGCCTACAAAAAAATTATAGGTATTTTCCGCTATCCTATAAAATTTATATTTTCTGACTCAATTTCAAAAGGTTGAAGGAATTCCAAAACAACTTTTATGGCATAATAATTATTTTCAATTGTACATACTATCTTTAGCTGCTTTTAAAAACGTTCTAAGAAAGTCCAATCAGATCAATTTAATCCCTAAACTATTCCACACTTTTAAAATTTAATTACCTAAAGATATTAAAAACTATTTAAAATAACTTGTTTAGCAGACTGTACAATAGCTATCTTAGTCACACGTAGCGCGTTCTCTGTCTGGGCGTCGAACACCTCTAGAAATTTGATGAACTGTAACTCGTAGTTGACTTCCGTGAAGAGATTTCTGTTACAGAAGCCAACTGCAAGATAAGTTGTAAGACCTTTTAAAAAAAAAATACATTTTTTAAGCTTTTTGATAATAACTATGTACTAGAATTAGAGTTTTTAATAATATAATGTGATTAAATCAAATTGTCATTTTAGACCAGATATCTCAAAATTGCCGTGGCAGTCAACGTGTTAACAATAATTTTGAAATTTGGGTATTAACATAGATTTAAATGATAGTTTACTGAATAAAAGTTGCTAGATTGAGTTTATACTTGACAGTTCAAAGGGTAAACAGAGTTTTATCAAAGAAGAGTATAAAACTCAATAATTACTTAGGATAGTGAGCTCTCATTGGCTGAAATTTGACTATTTTGATAGATGGAAAAATAATAATTACGAACCGTTTGCTAATCAAGATTTTACGCTATCGGCCTGATTTTCTGGAGAGTGTACGTGAACTAAAATCTTAAAATCGATTAATCTACAAACTTGTTGCAGGCAAAAGAAAACGACACCCATTGGCATTTGAAAAAGGTTACCAAACTGGAAGGGCACATAAAATTATTAATTAGCTTAATGCGATTCCATTATCGGCACTAGATTAAATACCGCAAGTGTGTTTCCTGTCCGAGTCTAGGGTTAGGCACGGTATCGTATCAAATCGAGATATTTTTTTTAGTTTGCGTGAAACAATCGTACGCGATGTTCGTGTAAAGACACTGTTTCTAAAAACGAAAAAATAAAAAAAATGGAAACGTTCGAAAAAAGAATAGCTATCGCAATGACTTACCGCCGCGTCGGTCCAACAGATTCTATAACGCGTTCGGCTTTTACTGATGATGGCGTACAGAAACGTGTTGTTACGGTAGTTCAAGACGCGCCTCGCGGTTTTTCCGGAAAATTAGTCGGTCCGAAATCTCCGCGCGATAATAAACCTGGTCAATCGGTACGACCAGGTCCTAAACCCGATCTCGGTAAACCTAATGATAATAAATCTGGTGATGATTCGAAACTGAAGAAACCTATTTCCGAAACGTTGGGAACCGCGCATGTAGATCAACTTTTTAAGGTAAACATATCAACTTATCTATACTCTATTCAACTTAAACGCAAGAATAGCTTAAACACAATACCCCTTAACCACGGCACTGAGCTAGAGGGTACGAAAACATTCGAAACCGTATTGTTGGGCTGACCAATAGCAGTCGGGAGTGTGCATATCATGCTGTGGTCAAGGGGCTATTGTGTTTAAGCGTTACTTGCGTTTAAGTTGAATAGAGTATAGTCTGAGTGTCCATCGTTAGAGCAACATCCGAATTACATTCGAAAAATTAAATTTTATCTGATCAAGAAAATAATTTTGCCATATTGTGCTAAAATTCTTGTAACATTTCTTAAAAACGTTAATTGTGATTGATGTGTGGCAATAAATAAATAATTTCTCTTAATTAGTAACGTAATATTTTACAGTAGAAGACGCGCGAGATTGTGTGCTAATAAAACAAATCCGTTTACTGTCAAAAACCATATATTTTTATTGCCAAAAACAAATAACATTATTTAATCTAAACAACTAATGTGCTGCATTATTTTCAATATTACTAAGCCCCGTTAAATTTAAAACAAGAATGATTAAAAAATTAATTATTCAAATTGAATAATAAATAACATCGAGTAATTGTAGTTATTATTCATGACAATTAAATTGTATTACAAATGAATAATAGTGTCCTTTCATATCAGAAAAACATATCTTATTTGATAAATTAGAAAGATTAAACGATTCCTAGATTTCTCTAGAGATAAGTTTTTCCATTACTCTTTAATTATAGTTATACAGGATATACCCGGATGGAATAAAAAAGATGAAAAACTTTTTTATTTTCATCTTTTCGAAAAGTTTCTAGTTTCAATATTAATACTTTCCCAAACAGATGTTGAATATCTCTTTGCTTTAGTGAAATAATGAGGAAAATAACGGCAATAGCCAGCTCGTACTTAAAAACAATTTGTTTAGTCATAATTTGGAAAATAATATTGAAATTTTCAAAGAAAAAATATACAATTAATTGTTAAAAGGTACTTAAAGCCTTTTCTTTGATATTCCTGATCTATTTGCCATGCATGTTTTAACGTTTTCTACCAACTTCATTTTCGTTACATACATTATTTTAATTTACAAATTAAAATGATTAAAAGTAATTAATTATCTTTATTATAATCTTAAAAATGTATTTTCCAAATTTTCCATTAAATAACACGATAAGAAAACACTCTTGGGATGAACAAAACACATTTTCATAAAAAATAACAATTCGAGTCTATAATTCATTCTGCCCCAAGGAGATTTTCCTACTTCTTTCTTATTTAATGTGTTTTTTTATTAACCAGGACTTTCCAACTATAATAAAAACTAGTCTAACATTTATCGAGCCCAAGCCAATTGTGTTTCTCCGGATTTTCGGTTTTTACTATAAATTAAGTTGTTTCGCCCTTCCAATTGCTTTTTTAAAATCGCAATATCAATAAGGAGGCATTCTAATAAACATTTCAGCGTTTCATAAAAATTTAATGAATATTTTGGAGATTGAACATTTATTAGTTAATAATCTAATTTTTGTGAGATTTATATTTTACGGTTTAGATCGTTTATTATAATATTAATAATTATAATATTCTCCCTATAATTTACCCCCTTAGTAGTGAATTTAAATCCTAGAAGTGGAAGGGATTATTTGGGGACAGATATTACTGTTATTTGTATAGAAGCTCAGATGTTTAGTGCTCTATCATTTGACTTACAGAAAAGTAACACAACATCCACCATCATTCATCTATTTAAATAAATATATTTAGATTAGATGACCATATTTGTTTCTCATTCAGTTTAATTAATCAATATACATTTATAAGTTGAAGAGTGACTGCAAGATGGAAGTATCCTCTATTTAAACACAATGAGATTCTTATTTAAAACTGTTCTGAGCTATAATGTTTATTTGTTTGTAGTTTTCGTTTGTATTATCGTTTTCATGTTCTCATTCATTAAAAAACTTCATTAAGTATGTGGCCAAACTTTATCGTGGTATTCCTAACTCAGTTTTAAGACACAAATAACTTGTGACAAGAGACCAACCAGTATTGCAATATTCTAAAATACTTCGGACCACATCATTGTGCAAACATGTTATTGTCTTTGTCTTGTAATATATACTTTGTTGATCTTTTTATGAACCCTAATAGCCTAAATGCCCTCAATATATCTTAGAAAAAGATACCTCTATGAAATATTACTCCTAAGTGGAGACTGATCTCCAGATAAATGTTATTAATTGTGTATGAGTTTTCAACAGGATTAGAACGCTATTTTGAAACCAGTTGCATAATTTTCAACATTATGCAACTGGTTGCTTAAAGTAGATCTTTTTGACACTTGCTACAATTACAAAAACTGTCACTTTATATATAACAAATATTAGAAATTAAAAATTTAAAAAACCGTCTTCAAAAACGTGCAGATGGCATCACCACATCTTAACCAAATTTATATGGGACCACCCTTGAGGTACCCCTTATTAACCAAAAAAAATCATATTAATCGGACAAGGTGGTAAAGCATTATCGCTAAACATACATAAAAAAAATAAAGAGTTTGAGGATTTTCTCACGGACCCAATTATTAAATTTTGACCAAGTACCCCCTATCCAACAAAAAAAGAATTATTGAAATCGGACATCGTGTTAAAGAATTATCGCTGAACATACATAAAAAAAAAATATTGCGATGAATTGAGAACCTCCTCCTTTTTTGAAGTCGGTTAAAAATTAGAAAAAATGTTTTATATATCTATTTTTTAGTTCTAAATACTTGGAACTGCACCAACAGACAAAATTATCTAAATCAGACTGTAGGACGTTATTATTATGTTTCACAATCAGCATAATGAAAGAAAATAAGTGTTTTCAACACTACATCATTTATAAACAATAACCAGCCAATATTTTTGCACCAGTCATCTTTTTTGTAATTGTGTTGTTGTGAGACGTATTTTGCTTGTGCACTTGTTTTTGTTTCCCATTCATACTTCATATTAGATTAAGAAACACAAAATTACCAAAAAAATAAATTAATTATATCCCTCTTTATTAGGTAATTCAAAAGTTAAGAGAATTGGTGTTCCTTAATCACAATTCATTGTTAAGTTCTAATCTGAATTTCTCTGAATGAAATTTTTGTTAACGCTTAACTAGTTTTAATTCAGGGTGTACAAAAATGGAGTATTTTGTTGTTTTTTCAGTTTGGCGAAAGAGGCTCTGGTACGCGCACAAGAACTGGAGACGCACAAGATTTTTACCATCTTCGTGATGAATGTTTGGAGAATAATACTCTTTTTGAAGACCCCGTTTTCCCCGCTGATGATTCTTCTCTGTTCTTCAGTCAAAGACCCGATAGATACTATGAATGGAAAAGACCCCACGTAAGTAACATTGTAAACATAAATTAATTGTGACATTTCCGTATGGGATAAAGTTTTAATTTCAGGTGTAGCATTAACAATTAACTATTTTTATCTTAGTTTTAAACAGTTTTTCTATTAACTAATATTCATTTAAAGTAAGAAATATATAACCCATGAATAGCCTGAATATTTGATTGAAATTTCATAATAAACTTTTTGTATTTCAAACTAAAAACATAACAGTTAAGTTAGAGGCAAAACTAATGTCAATTTTTTTTACAAAAAGTGGCCACAATCCCGATAATAATTTCCTTACTTTCCAGATATTTTTAAGCTGGTATTAAATTATAAAAATTTCTTCCCCTATAGCGATATCAATTTTCGTTGTCGAGTTAGGATTTTTTGTTTATATTTTAATACTACTTTTTAAAGAGTATAATAACAGCAATACTGTTTAAGTATTTTATGCAAAATATTGAAGATTGGGTTTCTTAGAACAAAATACGTGATTGTAAAGAAACTAGAAAATAGTGCATATCTATATATTGGGCTTATACGACATATTAAACCACATCGTTCGGAACAGGAAGTGTTTTAATGATATGATAAAAATCTTTTATCATTATGCTAGTCTAATTCAAGGGCATTTCATTATTTTTTGTTAATTTCCAATCTAATATCGAAGTATCCCATTATTGTAATAATTATTAAATGTATATTTTACTGGTTTTTATCGAAGAAAAGAGACATCGAGATGATCCAAACAGCATATGCAGTAGAACCCCGATTATTCGAGGTTTTTTTTAGTAATTTTTTGATACTCTGGGAGATGACCCGGTGTTCCAAAAGCCCCGTTTGCAATACCTTAACCCATTTGTTTATAAATTGCGCCCAAAATATTGTTCCAATTACTGAATTAATAAACTGTTGTTTAGATGAAGGTACCTTTCCAGATATTTTTAAAACGTCCAAAGTTCTACCATACCACAAAAAAGGAGATGACTCAGTACCTGAAAATTTCGCCAAATACATATTTTACCATGTTTTTCTATTATACTTGAAAGTGTTATAGTAAAACAAATTGTGAATTCTTTGAAAACAACAATCTGTTTTCTGCGGAACAATATGGTTTTAGACATGGGAGAACAACTACAGATGTCATGCCGGCTTTAATGAATAACATTCAGGAGTTTTTAAAAAACAAATCATGAGTATAAATCACACGTTGTTAATCAACAAACTAGATAAATATGGCATCAGAGGCATTGCAAATAAGATGATTGCTTCTTATTTGAAAAACAGACAACAAAGTGTATATTACAGAAATAAACTTAGTAAACCTTTATTAATGAAAAGAGGTATTCCACAAGGATCCGTACTAGGCCCTCTATTTTGGGGAGTTGTTTCGCAGTAACATTTTTTAGGTCCCCTCATCTTACTTATATCTGCCACTAGCCAGAGATTCTGGTCATCCTCCTCTCCATTACTTGGAGACGCGCCCGGTAGGCACTCAGCTCTCTCTGACAGTAAATTATCTACTGCATTGGATCCACGCTCGGCCAAATATGACGATGGAAATGCTATTTAAAACTTCTGTACTACTGCCTACAATCCAGGGTAGAGAACTGATATTTATTTTGGAATCATGTTTGAATTTTACTTTGAGTTCTACGAGATTTCTCGCCAAGTGCTAAATGTTAAGGTTAATACATGTTTTAGGAAATTTCTCCGGACCCAAAATTTTTCGTGGAAGGTTTTTCCCGGTTTGACGTACAACAGGGAGAGCTAGGTGATTGCTGGCTTTTGGCAGCAGCAGCTAATTTGACCCTTTACAAACGTTTGTTCTTCCAAATCATCCCAGATGACCAAGACTTCGATGATAAATACGCAGGCATATTCCATTTTCGGTAAGAAAACCAGAAACATAATTATTTAAAATAAACATTATTTAACGACAATAATGATAGTGAAAAAATGCGACGAATCAAAGAAGTATTTTCTGCAAAAAAAATTTTAATTTGATTTGGTATATTGTCAATTTCCCAACATCCGACGTCCCTCGAGTCAATAGACCCTCGGTCGATCACAGGTGTTCAATATTTTAAACTTATGCACTCTCGTAATTAAAACTTAATGAACTTTGTTTTCTCCAGCTTCTGGCAATATGGAAAATGGATAGACATAGTAATAGATGATAGGTTACCAACATATAGAGGCCAATTAGTATATTTACATTCTAATGATGATGACGAATTTTGGAGTGCTTTACTTGAAAAGGCCTATGCTAAGTAAGTGTTAATTTTTTTTATTATTTTTAACATACTTTTGGATGTAAATATTTTATATGTATATGTTCTTGAAAATGCTGAGTATCAGTTTCTTGTAGATTAAACGGCTCCTATGAAGCACTAAAAGGTGGTTCAACATGTGAAGCTATGGAAGATTTTACAGGTGGAGTAACAGAAATGTATGAAATGGAATCAAGTCCTCCGAATCTCTTCCAAATTATTCTTAAAGCTTATGATAGATCTTCACTCATGGGATGTTCAATTGAGGTAAGATTTAATTTTACAAATGTTTTTCTGTTTATTATTTTAAAGAAATCATTAAAAAATTTATGTGTAAGATTTATAAGTTCTTCATAAAACTATTTTTTCAAGTTTCTAGTAGAATTTTGTAAACTTGGGAATACACTGTATAATAAATGGCGACGTGCTCTTCGAGCACGTCGTTAACAACAAATTGTATTTAGATATTATTGTTAACGACGTGCTCGAAGAGGACGTCGCAATCTGTTATACAATGGGGAATTAATGGCAATGTGCTCTTCGAGTACGTCGTTAACAACAAATTGTATTGTGATGTTTGTTTATTTTCAAACAACAGTTTATTTATTAATAATTTATTTAAACACTTATTTATTTTAAACAATACTATTTTAATTTATATATACTTCGAATGTCTTTAAACTGATCACTTTATATTCACCAGTGTCTATCTACTAATCACTATTTATCTGCACTGTCCATATAACTACTAATTCTGATGGCTCTCCTCCACCAATTTATATACAAAATTGGTGGTTTAGAATGCTCCCCCACCAAAATTGCCAGTATGAACCAGAAACGTTATCACGTTCTAGAAATAGTATCTCGTTGACTCTGGAATGTTCGCGAAAGTGTCTCCACCATAATCGGACAAGTTGAGCCTCAAAGGCCAAATAAGACAGAGAGGGACTTGTAGGGTTAAAGCATGACTGAATAATGAAATGGCTCACATAACATTATTTAGATACTGTTGTTAACAACGTACTCTGTTAAATTGTATTCAGATATTATTAACGACGTGCTCAAAGAGCACGTCGCATTCTATTATACAGTGTTTCCCATATTATAGAATAGATTCGTTTTAACAGCGTGTTCGTAGAATACAATTTATTATACAGGGTGTTCCACATTGTATAATAGATTGCGACGTGCTCTTTGAGCACGTCGTTAACAAATTGTATTCAAATGTTGTAACAACTTTCGACATTATTTTATGTAGAGAAGAGAAAAAAAGTTTATTAAAGGGCACTGAATCGACAATTAAAAAATAGAAAAGAAAACAAGCTTCTATATGTTTCCTTAAGAAATAGGTCAGTATCTATTATAATTTTAACTCATCCCTATACCAGAAAGGTTGAAGAATCGTCTCTGACGGTTCCTAAAATTTAAAATAATTCCAAAAGGTCGAGAAACAAGCCAAACTCGCGAAAAAGAATCGGTACACGTAAAATTGATCACAAAATCTTAAGCTATCTAGGAAACTTTTTTTTCAATTAGACAAACTGTTCAGCTGTGGGCGCGAGCCTCCACTTTTAAGCCTCAAAATGAGGCGTCTTCAGAAGCGCGCCACGAAGTGTTCTTTGGTACTCCCTTGCATTGACTGCCTTTTTTTCTAATCCAACCTGTGCTGAACAATCTGGCTTAACTGCTGTATCAGCAACATGTGCAGTTTCATAGTCCACATAGTTCGGTTATTTACAATAGCTTACGAAACTAAGTACATTGCCAAGTTTCAAGCAACTGTATCAGCAATTCCATGATGTTTTTAATGTCAAGAAACCTTTGTTTTAAATTACAACTTTGTTCTTATAACAACGTCCGGTTGAATTATTAAACAAACTATGTTATACTCTATTATTTGCAAAATTATGCATTTTATTCCGAGTTATTTATTTGGAAAATTATGATTTTGGTTATACCAAGTATCTTGAATAGCTGATTTAATTTAAATAGTTTAAGGGCTGATCTTTTCACCTCGGAATAAAATTATATGTAGGTTCACTTGGTAGATTAACAAACAATAGCTCTGTAGTTTAATCAGCAGGTAGTTACTTTCTTTAATCAGAGGTTAATTATATTTTATAATTATCGATTATTACAGTAATAATTGTAAGCATCTTGCTTTGACTCATCGAAATAAGTGTCGTGAGGCTAGTTCGGATAGTCAGGGGCTGGAGCGGGACAAAAGCGGAGGGTGCTTTTAAATGACATTTAAGCGTGTTAAACTGTCACTAATCGGATTAAACCGAACGTTAAAAGGGTCGTTTGGAGTAAAAAGTGTTAAAGGAGTTAAAGGAACTTGGCAGACCGAACGCAATGAAGATTACTTGTATTTTTTAAAAAATTATTAACACTTGACAACTGACACATGACATTAATTTTCTTTTAGTTAATTCTAAAAGGGACTTTTTTACTTTTTAGCCCGATCCACATGTGCTTGAAGCCCAGACTCCCGAAGGGCTGGTTAGAGGCCACGCATACAGTATAACTAGAGTACAATATATAGATATCCAAACACCGAATGTAACCGGTAAAATTCCCCTTCTTAGGTTGCGAAATCCTTGGGGTAACGAATCTGAATGGAACGGTGCTTGGAGTGATGGGTGAGGAATCGTTTTTACTTATAAAAAAAACACCCTGAAATATTCAACCGAAAGTATGGAACGAATCGTTTTTATTAAAATTAAAAGTATTCTTTCATTTGTTGAATATTTTTTGTCTTTTTTTTGTTTCTTTTTGTTGTTTTTTTTTTTGTTTTTTATTTTTTGTTATTTGTTTTATATTTTTGTTTTTTTTTGTTTTGTTTTTTGTTTAATACAGTATTAAGTAATTGTAAATATGATAAAGCAATATTCTGTAAACATTCTTCTTTCTGTTGAATGTTTTTTTTTTGTTTATTTTGTTTTTGTTTGTCTTTTATGTGTTTTTGTTTGTTTTTTGTTTTCTTTTGTTTAATATAATTTAAGACAATACTAAGTTATAAATAATAGTAAATATAGTCCAGATAACATTATAAAGCAATAGTTTGTACAAAAATACATAAATTATTATTGTATTATTTTTCAGTGCCCCAGAGTGGAGGTTCATTTCAGATTCGCAAAAAGAAGAGCTGGGCCTAACATTCGACAGTGACGGTGAATTTTGGATATCGTATAAAGATTTTATGAAGCACTTCAGTAGATTGGAAATTTGTAACCTTAATCCTGATTCCTTGTCGGAGGAAGAATTACAGGAAGGCCATAAGAAAAAATGGGAAATGTCCGTATACGAAGGCGAATGGGTCAGGGGTGTTACTGCCGGTGGTTGTAGAAATTACCTAGGTAAGTCATTTCAGATTCATAAAAATTAAGCTCTTTCAAAGGGTAAATTATTAAGTAATAAAATATTGTTGTAATTGTTGTTCAATATATTAATACGCAAGTTGATCACTTATATAACGTTTATTTAATAAAGACAATGAATATGCAAACAGCGTTCTAATTATTAATATCAGAGACAACCATTCTTTATCATCTACATCAGAGACACACAACAACCTTCTTCGTCTCTTTTGACATCTGACATTTGACATTACATTTATCTTAGATCGTCAATAACTAGACTTGAACTTAATATAAGGTAAAAAGAAAGCATTACTTATGAATAAAATGGGCTTATAACAACAAATACTGTTTAAAATATCTGTTTTCGTGAATAAATCTGTGGCTTGGGAGACATATGTTAACTCAAATAGGCATTGATCAAGAGGAAGATCAAATTTAAGTGCTTAAGAGGAGTTTCATGTTTCATAATTTCTATATTGAGAAAAGTTCTGGGTAAAATACTTTATCGATTTTTTGATCTGTCTTCTCGCTTTAAAAATGTAATCCCGATTCTTTCATTCCCAAATGTACAAAACCTGGTGATGTGTTATTCCATTATCTATATGGTTATTAAACATCATTGGTTTCTAATGTGTTTATCGTTCTAGATTCTTTCTGGCGTAATCCACAATATCGCGTCACTTTGACTGACGTTGACGATGACGACGAAGATAATCAGTGCACAATGATAGTAGGATTGATGCAAAAGAATAGAAGACAAGTAAAGAGCTCGTCAGGAGAAGATTTGCTTACCATAGGATTTGCTATATACCATGTAAGATAGATAAGTTTGTTTGAATCGACTTGATAAACTGGATTTTTAGTAATTAATTATTAATCAAATTGGGGCCCAGAGATGCAGAGACGTTTAACTAGTAAAAAACAATTTTTAGGCAACATATTCGCCATTTCATCTATTATGGCGTATATGTCATTATTAACATAAAATAAGTAAATATAAAGCATGACCAGTGGTAATAATATCAAATCTGTAAACTCACGGCCCCAAAACACGAAAAAATATAATTATAACCAATTGTTTTTATAAATTTTCGTTTTTGTTGCAGCTTTCCCAGCCAGACAGGGTTCCCAAACCGCTCGATATGAATTTCTTCCGTTATAACGCTTCGGTAGCACGTTCGCCGTCGTTTATAAATTTGCGCGAGGTCAGCTGTCGGTTTAAGCTGCCGCCCGGTACATACTGCATCGTTCCGTCCACTTTCGATCCGAACGAACAAGGCGAATTTCTGCTCAGAGTGTTTACGGAAAAACAAAACGTCATGGAGTATGGTTACAATTATAATAGTACTAGACATTACGGCGGAAATGAGGTGGATGAGGAAGAGGACGAAGAGGAGAGGCCTACGGCCCCCTCTTTTCCTGAACCTCACAGCCCCAGTTCCTTTCATAGCGATCCTTTTCCGAGCTATCCCGGAGGAGGGTATTCCCATCCACAACCTAGTCATCCTGGGTATCCGGCTTACCCTCAGCCTAGTTCTGCTGGGTATCCTCAGCCTAGTTCTCCAGGGTATCCTTATCCAGGGTACCCTTCGCCTGGATATCAATCAAATTCTGGTGGTTATCCAGGGTATCAACAACCTCCTGGTGGTTATTACCCTCCTCCTAATCAATATCCTGGCTATCCTGCTCCTAATTACCCTCCTAGGCAATCTGCTGAAAACAATGATCCTATCAAAGGCATTACGAATTTTTTCAATAAGCTTTTTAAATAGTTTTTTTTTGCTGGCTTGTTAAGCGAGTTGTAATTAATGTTACCATCTCAAGATAATTATATAAATTAGTAAAAGATGATATAATTCAACATTGTCTTTATTCTTTTACTAAAGCACTTTGAATTTTTGTATTAATTGTATTTTAGGATTTTTATATCAACATACCGATGACGTTCTTATGGTTGGCTATTTTTCAAAGCAAGAACAATTTGTCGATTTTTTGTTTCTATAAAAAATGAAAACGACTTAGTACTTGATGGAATTAAAATAAAAATGCGTGATACTAGATTTAATGTTATTAAAAAGTTTTAATACAAAAAATTTTGAATTTTCAAAACAGTTTGTTCGGGAATCAATATTTTTTTAATTCATTTAATGGTTCTGGCGGTAATCAAGTAACCAAGACTTTTTGTTTTGATTCCTTATTACTGTCTACAGTGTTAATGGATAAAAATAAGTTTCCTTATATTTTCTGGGTTGTTAATGACAATTTTCCTAGGATTATGAAAATAATGGCAGTTAATTTGTTTCTTTCATTGATGGATAAATTAGGAAAATAAGGACCAAGATACTCTCATTAGAAATCCAACCGTGAATACCGTAGAATTATATATAACAATTAATTTTGAGTTTGACAATTTTTCTTTTTTGAAGCAAAATATTCATTTTGTCTTAATAAGTATTAATTACTTATATTTTTGTATTTAAAAAAAAAATATAGTTCAGTAAAATAGATCTTGGAATCAAAAAAGTTTTGAGGAAATAGAGGAATTTTTGATTTTGCCTACAATTTTTATTCAAAATCTCCCCATTTTTCAAAGAGTTTTTTCACATTTGCTCACAAATTTTCGCACATTTCCTCGCAATTTTTCCTCAAATTCCTTCATTCCTCACATTTCCAAGCAATTTTTTTACATTTTCCTTCAAAACTTCCACATTTCCCCGTATTTTTTCCACATTTTCCTACTATTTTCCACCCTCAATATTTTTACATTTTTATTTTAATTATTCCTCTTTCGAAACAATTTTCCCTCATTTTCCCACAATTGTCCCCAAATTCCCTCAGAAATACACATTTTCCCGCAATGTTTCCCTTATATCCCTCATTTCCCACAGAATTCCCCTCAAAATTCCCCGTATTTTTTATAAGTTTTCCTAATATTTTTCCCACACAATATTCCTACATTTCTCCCCCAATTTTTACTTAAATTACGCCCCTTTCCAAAGATTTTTCTCAAATTTCTTCATAAATTTTCGCACATTTCCTCGCAGTTTTTCCCCAAATTCTCCTTACAATTTTCCTCAAGTCTCCTCACAATTTTCCCATAATTCTCTCTAAATTTACTTTATTTCCTCGCAATTTCTCCCACAATTCCCAATAGTTTTCTTACATTTCCCCGCAATTTTATCCAAAATTCTCCTTTCCTACAAAGTGTTTCTCAAAATTATCAAATTTTTCCACATTTTCCTACTATTTACCACGCTTTTTCTCTTTTTCCACATTTCTTCACTATTTGTTCCTTATTCCCTCAACATTTTTCTTACATTCTCCACGATTTTTACTCAAATTCTACCCATTTTCCAAATAATTTTTCCACATTTCTTCAAATTTTCCTAGATTTTTTGCAATTTTCCCTTAAATTCAACCTAATTTTCCCTAAGATTCCCCACAATTATTCTCAATTTCTCTCATTTCTCCACAATTATTCATACATTTCCCAGAAATTTTTTCACATTATCTTGCAATGTTCCTCAAATTCCCCTAATTTCCCACAGAGTTGCCCCCAAAATTCCCTCATTTCTCCAAATTTTTTTCCTCATTTTTCTAGTATTTTTCTCCCTCAATATTCTTACATTTTCCCAAAATATTTACTTACTCTCCTCATTTTCCAAAGAATTTTTCCACATTTCCTCACAAATTTTCAAATATTTCTTCAACTTTTCCATAACTATCCTCAAATTTCCAACATTTTTCCACAATTTTCTCTAAAAATAAATAAAAATACGGTTTCTTTTTTATTTCACTCCTTCTGGGTATTTCAAAGTAACTTAACATCCAAAATCCTTCCAAAATTTTAATTTAAAGGTCTATTTGATAGTTTGCCAGAAGATAAGCTATCTGTTCTTGTTTTGAAATATATTTTACTAAAATATTAGAAATTACATAAACTATTAAACAGAATAACTATTATCAAAGAAAAATATATTAAATTTAAAAACTTTCTTCGAATTAGATTTAAAACAGCAAGCTACTAAATCTATTCTGCATTTGCTTTCGTTATTATTAATTTTCCATCGCTTTTTCACTTTGTTAATGCTTCCATATTTAATTAGTTTGGTTTTGGTACTTTTAGTTTAAATTGAATTAGTATTTGTTTAAAAACAATTCAAATATTTAGTTTATTTTTTTTACCACGAAATACAGTATTTTTAACATGGAGGGTGTTAACGGTCTTTTATTTTTACTATTTTTTATTTTATGGGTTTTAATATTTTGATAGGTTCATTCTAATTATAACTAGTTTTATTGTATCTTCTTAAATTTTGAATTTCAACAACCACATAACAAATATTTTGATGAAAAATTTTTTTATGAATATTTCGTTTTAATGTTAAATGTGTAGAGGATTTATTAAATTTAGTTTTTCACCTATTGTTAAAATAAAAATGATAAGACCCTAAATACTTTACAATAGATAACCATGACCAAACTAATGTTACAGGGTTCAAATTAAAAAGCTTTTCAGATTTAAAGTTGTTTCAGAGATTAGTTTTTGATTATGTAAATCATACAAGCTTTTAATCTGACCACTGTATTGAAGAGTACAATATCAACGTTTTAATTCCCTAGCAAACATTTCTCCAATAAAAAAAATTTAAAATAATTTAATTTTCTTAAAACATTGAATATTGCACTCTACAAATCGCATTGCTATCATTAATATAAATAGTTAAGTTTGTACAAAATCATTTTTAATTAATATTTATTAATGTTGATAAAATTATGAAATAAAATATAAATATTATATGGTGAGAATTATTTTAACATGTAAAAGTTTTCTAAAACCCAAATTTTGAGGTTAAAATTTGGGAATCGTTTCTAATTATTTTAAATGTTATAGGGAACATGAGGAGGAAGTAGGATATGGAGAAGTAGACGAAGTTGTAAGTCAAATAAAAACCGACATCTGCTTTTGCTCTAATTTTATTAGTTTTTATTTTGTGATGGTACTTGTAACATAAAATTTTGTAAAGTTATGAAAAAAAAAAAAAACATTCGTCTCTATTATTATGAAGACTTGATAATAGTTAATGTTTTAAAAAGTACCATCACAGGTTTGTTTTTTTTTATAATTATGCTTAATAGGATTTATTGACTGTTAAGTCAATGTGTAAATAAGAAAATATTGGAAAAGTTTCATTGATTTCAAAATTCCTGTAGGTAAAAGCAGAACCCACCGAAGAAGAAAAAGTGGAATCTGATAGGGTGTATCAATTTTTCTTAAAATTGGCTGGTGAAGATAAAGAAGTAGATTGGATAGAATTGCAGCAAATTTTAAATTTCTCGTCAAAATCAGGTAAGGAGGGAATCAATATTGTAAGTGTGACAAAAAGGAGTTTTTGTCCAATCAATTTTTCTTATAAAATCATTAAATTTAAATATAAATGAGCTGAGTTAGAAATAGGTCGACACGTTGAATAAAATAAAAAATCAAGTTATTCTCTTGAATAGACATTTTTGTTAATCTCTTATATTATCTTTTGATGACATGAGACAGGTCACATAAATTATTTTGTATATAATACTCTTGTAAATGTTTAAAATGATAAACTAAAGACACATCTTCCTCAAAAACATTTTTTTTTATATATATTCATTGCTCAAAATTTTCCATTACGGTCCATTTTGGAAAAATGTATAAAATAAAAATTCTAGACTTTTATTTCGAAATTTGCACTTTTTCTTAAATTTCTCGAATACGGTTTAGTATAGGAAAATTTTGTATAAGATAAAAATTATAGAGAATTATATTACAAACAACTTTTATTCGAAGAATTTTTCTCCAAGCGTTAATAAATTTAAATTTTTTTATATTTTGTCGTGAAAAAAGGTTTCAGGGGAACCCCAAAATGAAAAATCCACCGAAAACTCGAGGTTGAAAAAATTATCATATCCTATACTTTCCTTATCTGTATATATATATAAGAAAAGTAAAAATATCCTTCATTTAGTAAACAATTATTTGTGGATTGTTGTGTTGCATCCAAATAGGTGAAGATTTCCAACAAATTAGTCTTAAATTAAAATTAAATAAACACTAAATGAAACTCAAAAATTATCTTAAAGGAGTTAAACAATCAAAAATGTAAATAAACAATAATTAACCTACTTCTAGATGACAAATGACAGGCTCGTATAAATTAATCTTAATAATCGAATAACCTCTACTTTTACTGTCAGGGAACAACATTTACGTCATCACTAATTTATTGTACTATAAACAATGAAATGTGTCAATTTTCATAGTCACCTTGGATTTAAATATAAAATGAACGACATATACAACAATTGGGAAACTTTTCCGCACTAGTGCGACAAAGTGAATAGAAACCACTTTTCCGCACTAGTGCGTGAAAATAAATAAAAATAATTTTCCCTACTAGTGCGAGAAAGTACACTTTCTAAACTAAAAGGCGAGTAGAAAGGTGACATTTTCCAAACGTTTTGTAGAAAAATTTATTGAAGGACTTATTGGGAATAACTTGACAAGTCATAACATTAATTTATTGAGGAAACACTTCTTCAAAGGTTAATACTTCTAAAACTACTATAACTTTGGTGAAATGCAATAAATTTGCCAAAAAATGTATATAATCAATAAAGAATTGTCCTGAAGAATGTACGTATGTGTAAAGTTGTAAAGCAAATAATGTCCTATCGAACTTATGAAACAGATCCTTTGTTTCCGCCAATACAGCGCCACAATCTATTATATAATATGAGACAGACTGTATACGTGCTCTTTGAGCACGTCGTTAATAACAATATTAGAATATAATTTGTTTTTAACGACGTGCTCGAAGAGCACGTCGCATTGTTATTATACAATCTACACTGTATAATAGATTGCGACGTGCTCTTCGAGCACGTCGTTAACAACAATATTTGAATATAATTTGTTTTTAACGACGTGCGTCGCATTGTATTATACAATCTGCACTGTATAATAGATTACGACGTGCTCTTTGAGCACGTCGTTAACAAGAATATTTGAATACAATTTATTGTTAACGCAATCTATTATATAATATACACTATATAAAAAATTGTAACATGCTATTAGAGCACGTTGCAATCCATTATATACATAAGAGTACAGTGTATAATAAATTGCGACGTGCTCTTCGAGCACGTCGTTAACAACAATATTTGAATATAATTTGTTTTTAACGACGTGCTCGAAGAGCACGTCGCATTGTATTATACAATCTACATTGTATAATAGATTACGACGTGCTCTTTGAGCACGTCGTTAACAAGAATATTTGAATACAATTTATTGTTAACGCAATCTATTATATAATATACACTATATAAAAAATTGTAACATGCTATTAGAGCACGTTGCAATCCATTATATACTTAAGAGTACAGTGTATAATAAATTGCGACGTGCTCTTCGAGCACGTCGTTAACAACAATATTTGAATATAATTTGTTTTTAACGACGTGCTCGAAGAGCACGTCGCATTGTATTATACAATCTACATTGTATAATAGATTGCGACGTGCTTTTCGAGCACGTCGTTAACAACAATATTTGAATATAATTTGTTTTTAACGACGTGCGTCGCATTGTATTATACAATCTGCACTGTATAATAGATTACGACGTGCTCTTTGAGCACGTCGTTAACAAGAATATTTTAATACAATTTATTGTTAACGCAATCTATTATATAATATACACTATATAAAAAATTGTAACATGCTATTAGAGCACGTTGCAATCCATTATATACTTAAGAGTACAGTGTATAATAAATTGCGACGTGCTCTTCGAGCACGTCGTTAACAACAATATTTGAATATAATTTGTTTTTAACGACGTGCTCGAAGAGCACGTCGCATTGTATTATACAATCTACACTGTATAATAGATTGCGACGTGCTTTTCGAGCACGTCGTTAACAACAATATTTAAATAATATTTGTTTTTAACGACGTGCTCGAAGAGCACGTCGCAATGTATTATACAATCTAGACTGTATAATAGATTGCGACGTGCTCTCCAAGCACGTCGTTAATAACAATATTAGAATATAATTTGTTTTTAACGACGTGCTCGAAGAGCACGTCGCATTGTATTATACAATCTAGACTGTATAATAGATTGCGACGTGCTCTTCGAGCACGTCGTTAACAACAATATTTGAATATAATTTGTTTTTAACGACGTGCTCGAAGAGCACGTCGTAATCTATTATACAATTTACATTATATAAAAAATTGTAACATGTTATTAGAGCACGTTGCAATCCATTATACAATTAAGAGTACAGTGTATAATAAATTGCGACGTGCTCTTCGAGCACGTCGTTAACAACAATATTTAAATACAATTTGTTGTTAACGACGTGCTCAAAGAGCGCGTCGCAATCTATTATACAAGAGTACAGTGTATAATAGATTGTGTTAACAACAATTTCTGAATACACTTTGTTAAAAGTGCACGTCGCAATATATTATATAATTCGGGTTACACTGTATAATAGATTGTAACGTGCTTTTTGAGCACGTCGCACATATGTTGATTTAAAGAATTTAGGCGATCAAAATTAAAACTCATAAATGAAATTAAAAATTCCAGAACCAAAGGAAAGTCCCATTAACAATAATTTACCATCCTCACCTGCAAACCTTTTTTCGCACACGGGCGTTGTGTAGTTAGTCGTCTCAAGAAGTGCATGTCTTTGTTCTCAGAGTCCTCAGTGTAAGCGTTTAAACGTAGAGAAATTTTGTGTTGTCCCACTAATATTTTAAAGTTATTTTGATGGATTCGAATAATTCAGACAGGAATCAATATTTTTTGACATTTTTAAATGATTTTTAACGTTATTTTTTGCTTCAAGAAGTTTTTACTTAAATTTTTTATGTTTATAAAACATGATAAAGTGTTTTCCGCGACATAAACTAACATATAAACATTTATGATAGATTATGTTATTTAGACGTCTAAAGATTTATATAGGCGTCTAAATAACATAATCGATCATAAACGTTTATGCCGCGAAAAATACCTTTTTGTTATATTATTGCTGTCCTAAAAATTTTCGTTTCAGGGTAATTTTTTGTCTAATTCCGGTGTCAAAAAACGTCTTTTGCTAGTATACGAGTATATCTTTAAAAAATAATAAGTAATAAAATAAAAATAGATTTTAACCTTCATTCAAACAGTAATTTTTTTTTTCAACAAGCCATAATTTTCGATTATTTAGAAAACACAAAAAATTTAATTTTTCTATCCCTCAATCCCCTCTTAGTCTTGTAGTTAGATTCGAAGTCTTTCAATATTTTTAACACCTTACTTACATCTCTAAAGAAAAAAATCCCTTTCCCATGTCCTTTATAACCCCCATATTGACTACATTAAAAAAAAAAATGGTAAAAATATAAATTAACATTTATTAAAGCTTAATAACAATACGGTGAAAAAATTTAAACATCATCACTGGTATCTAAAGCTGCTGCCGTTTTGGAATGCGAATTTCGACAGAAAGGACAGTGTCCGTTCTGAAGCATCTGCAACTCAAAGTCGTCAACATGGAAACACTTGAAACAAAAATCGCACATACTTATCAGCATTTCCGGTAATAAATTTCTAAAATATTGATGACGTAGCGGAGGCGGCCACTTGCATACTAAAATACTCGAACTATCAAAGGATAACAATATTTTTCTTCCAACGATGACAGGTTGAAAAGGAGCTTCTTTGTTGACTTTAGAAGTAAACGGATCCGGCTCTTCTTCGTGTGGGGTTTCTAGTTGTAAAGTTTGATGGTTTTCCGATATGTTTTCCTTCCAATTTTCTTCCTTTTTCTCCACCATAGGCGTTTCTATCAACCGTACAGCTTCTTCATCGCCGATACCTTCTTCCAATCGGAATTCCACCAATGGTAGCAATTCAAAACTTACGAAAGAATACACAAATCTTTCTCCGCAATTCACACAATTATTGGTAGTAGCAGATAATGGATTGTACGTCGAGCAACGGTAACACATTGGTAATAATTCTTCGGGATCGCTGTACGGTTTAGCTCTAGATGCTATGGTTGCAATTTCTACTTGTTCTTGGAACTTTTGCGGTATACGCAAATTTTGGATTTTATCCAATAGCTGTTTGGCTAGTTTATTAGCACCGAGTTTCTTAGCCTAAAAATAAGGATATATTTTTGAAAATGTGCAACATTTGGATATTCATAAGTGTAAGAAGTGGAAATTAAAGAAATAACAATCATATTAATTGAAGACACTTGTGCACAAAGGGGGTAGCTCCGTTTTTATTAATTTTTAAATGAAAATTATGAATAACTGCCAAATAATAAACTTCAGCACGAAATATCTCGTAAAAATGATTTTGCTACATAGGCTTTTCATCTACTTGTGTCTTCAAACTATAGTTTATACTTGCATCAATAAGTTCATATTAATTTTGTTTAGGTAGTCCAATCTTTTGTGCTATCTTGAGGCTTTTCTATGACTGATAAACTTAATTGCCTACTCATAGTTTCCGTATCTCAAATCTTCGAAAATTATTTAATCTGTACGATTTAAAATAAAGGATCATTCTTTAAAGCAAAGCCCAAGTGCCCTGGGCCCATAACCTGTTGTGATTTCTTGGAATAGTTGAGAAAATTAGATGGATAAACATTTTTATTTTAATAAAAACGTTTACATTAGATATTAGATATATTTCCAACACTTTCATATATTATTTACATCAAAAGTTAGTAGCAAAAAGTTTGTTACCACCTTGAAATTTGGCACATTTATAATTTAGCTCCTTATATGTACCAAAAAAAGTTTCACTAGCTCTTTACTATATATAATCGATGACAGTTGTTTAAAGTAAAAAAAAACTATTAATTTTTTTAATTTAAAAATCGTAATTAATTCAAAAATTCGGACTTTTTGACTTTATTTTTATTTACCTGTTTTGACAACGTATAGAGAGTAGCAAACGTAGAAATCCCCTTAATCCTCTGCCTTTGACCGGTCACTTCAGTCATTAAAAACCGTGCGATATTAAATAGAGCTTCCGGCATATAAGAAGTAAACGGTTCTTCTAAGTATTTATGAATCGTATTATAAGCGTAATAAATTTCAGCAAGTTTTTCATTGCTTGTAAAATATTTCAAATACTGATCTCGTTTATGTTCGTGCTCTTTCGACATATCCAGATATTGTCTAGAAATGATCCAATAGTAATAACTTGCATCTTGATACCTATAAAACAAAGTTATTTAAAATATATTACATAATATACAGATTCAGATTAAATATTTCTATAAAGAGCAACAAGAAAAAGACTATTCATATGAAGCGAAAACAATACTGACTCCGATACGCAAATAATATAAAACTATCGCAATTCTTTCTGTTAATAGACAAAATTAAGCTGAAAATTTATTTTCTTTGTACCTGCATTCGCTGACTGCATTATCCGTCAACTGAATAAACACTTTAAAAGCTTCCTGAGATTTTCCTGCCTTATGGAAAGCCCTTTGAGCTTCGACAAACTTATCGCTTTCGGCCAACCAATGAGCATAAGGCACATATACCAAAGCGTTGTATTGCGGTTGATCTCTCACTAGAGCGAATGCTTGTTTCCATTCTTTGGCTTCGACGTGTAAACGTAAAACTGCTTCGGAATCACCGAGTCTCCGGTATATTTCGGCAGCTGCCGAGGAATTGTTGAGGCGTTTTAAGTGTTTGGCTATGGTTAATAGAGTGCTTCTATCCGATTTTTCCAATTTTCTCGAGAGATCTACCATTTGATCGGCCCATCTAAGGAAAAAATTGTTCATTTGTAGATAAAATTACATGAATAAATGCTCTTAAAACGTGAGATTAAACAAAAAGGGCTGTATTAGATTTTTATTATTTTTATTAACATCTGGATGTGGGATATTCAATCAATAATAGACTTATAACTCAAGAATGATTTATTATATCATAACTAACCCGATTTAGTGCACAAAATTAACTCAGGTGGAAAAAACAACCATTTAAAAACATAAACTATATATCCCGAAAAACCAATGCAAAAAGGGTCATAAAAGCACATCGATAAATTTTAATAACACAGTGGCGTAACAATAATTAATTCCAATTTACCACAATTATTGAGCTCATCATTAAAATTATAGAAAATAAATTTTTACTGCAATCTTAGGAATTTATTTTAGAATCTTACTTAAATATTGGGTATCCAAATTTGACATTCCGATTTAAATCGACCGCAATTTTTGAAAATCTTCATTGACAGTACTTGTATGGTGACATATATCAAGTAAAAACTTTGCAGATACTTGTTTTTTGATCAACATGGAACAACTGTCCATTGAAAACTCCGTTTTTATTGTGAAAACTTATTGCCAAAATGGAGAATGTCTGCTGAAACAGTAAGAAGATGGCTTACGCATTTCGGAAGGAATTTAGCACCATCTGTTAAAGTTATTGAGAGTTTTATGAAGATATTTCAACAGCAGAATATGGGGGTGAAGAAAATCCAAGGAAAATATTGGAAAAACGACTGTGTGGTGTGGTTTTTGGTCTAATGACGTTATTGGTCCTTATTTTTTTCCAAAATGAAACTGTTGATTCGATAACTGAATGAAGCGCAATACAGGACAATGATTACGAGATTATTTGTGGAACGTATTAGACGTTATGGATGTTCAGAACATCTGGTTTTAGCAAGACGGTGCCACTTGCCACACATCGGATAAAATCTTTTAAGGGAAAGATTTGGCATTCGAGTTGTGGGGCTTTTTGAAGGGAAAAGTTTATGCTAACAAACCCTCGAAACATCTGAAGAGCTTCCAGTTAACGTTATTAAAAAAATTTAAGAAATTTTACAGAATAACGAAAATATTCTTTAAAATGATTTTTAGCATGCTAAAGAAGCAAAAGGGCCACATGCCGGATATTATTTCAAGGGCTTTTTGTGTTTTATTATTAAATTAAATCCGAAGGTCAAATTTGGACATCCTTTATTCCAGCTTTTCAATAAAATAGATTGACCTACCCATTTTCAGCGAATATTTCGACCGCAGCCATATTATCTCCCACAGACAGATACATATCGGCGGCTGCTTTGTGTTCGTTTATATTTTTCGCCCAATCGGCTTTCCTTCGAATCAAGTCTGTATTGTCGTTCGATCCCAAGTACTCTTGAGCTTCATCGAACATTCTTAAGTCGGTGTACATTGTTAGAGATTTAAATTCGTGACCGGCTCTTTGGTATAATTTTGCAGCGTCTTTAAGTCTACCTTTGTGAGCGAGGATGTCGCCTAACATCACTTCTTTTGGATAATTTCCTAAATATTAAAATTATTACTCGTTTGCGTTTTTCAAAAATACATTGAGAACTGGACTAATTAACCAGTGAATAGCTCAATAGTTGTATGCGTTCAATAATTTGGAATTCAACTGTTCCACTGGTTCTCCAACGGTTTGCATCAAAAGTTTTAAAGAAACCCGAACAAACTTAACCTGGACAGGGATTCTTATGTGCAATCTCAACACGTAACGAATCAAATAGAGAGAGACATTACATACAAATCGCATTCTGTGGAACGAAGATAGTCGTCTCAACACCCAATGCTGGTGACAAATGTCAAAAATCGATCTAAATTTACATGTGTCAACTGTCAAAAAGTTATCTAACTAACGGGAAGACTTTATAGCTACTAAGTTGGCTAACCTAATCTGTTGACAGATCTAAAAATATAAACTTATTATATGTCAACCGTGTTGCCAATCTATGTCAATAACTAACAAGGATTCAAGATGGAGCCCGACGTGAAACATGTGTTAACTGTTAGCGACCTGATGTAACCTCATTTTGTGGTGAAAAGTCATCTAACCTAAAGAATCTGGAGGATCTATAAGATTACAATTACTAATGACGTACGACAACGAAAGAAGAGTGTTTAAAGATTAAATTGGTAATATTTAACAAAGAAAACGACGATGATGTACGACAACAAACAAAGAACATTTATTTTCAATATTTTGTTATTAATACCCAACAAAGGCAACAACGATTATGTTTAACAACAAACGAAGAGAATTTTAATATCAATCTGAAACATGTTTTAAACATGGCCAATTTTAAGTTCAATTTACTCAATTTTTTTGCATAAAATTGCTTATATGTAGGTAATTTTAATAACAAAAGCTAATGTTGAATATCCTACCTTTTTGCTGTAATTCTTGCAAATCTTCTATCAGTTCCAAGTGAGTAAAGTCCTGTAACTTGACAAAAGCGAGTCTGGCATTTTTGAATTCCAAATGTTCGAGAGCCGCATGCGCCAGTTCTTCCCAATCGCCTTGTGTCACACCTAAGCACGCTACTCTGTATGCTTCGTCGTACATTTTTTTGTCAATATACTGGTACATGGGAGTACTGAGCGGTAATTCTAGAGTATTCATACTGAAGCCGTTTAGACAAAATACTTTCGAACCTGTTAAACCAACTACAAAACCGCCCATCGTTTGTGTATGGGCTGGAAAATCCATTACCTAAATCAAATTTGGTTATTTATCACATTATACCTGTATGAATGAATGAGTGACTAATAATTATATATCTCTGGGCATCAATAACCTAAGAACTCTATTACCTTCGTACTACTCTTAATATCGTACCTCTCTAAGAAAATTAAAGAAACACAATGTTTTCTCAAGCAAGTATACATAATATATCGCAAACCAACATACACAAATATGGTCGAAAACTATAACAAATATCTGTATAAACAATTTACCAACTCCAATTTTGAGGCACATCTCAATTTTTTATACCGCGATTCAAAATACAAAAAACATACTTCACGCCCTCGCGATTAAGATGCCGCCCAATTCGCCACGCAAAGAATATCGCATGTAACCTCAATTCCTTCTTTATAATTTTTTTTATCTTTTATTGTTATTTTATTTATTGAATAAGCAACCTTATATACGATTGCAACTTAAAACAAATTCACGATAAAATTAAACAAACTTTCATGTACAGGGTGTTATTTAAATGATTAAATAAAATTGGGGAAAATGTGACAATATTCAATATGAATCTTACCTTGATTGATAGCGTATTGTCTCCACTAAATGCCAACATATCTTCATACAGATTATTAAAAGCTACACTGTTAGCATTTGCTTCTTGGAATAACAATTCTCCTGTGCGAGAATGAAATATTTGGCACATCCCAGAATCATCTACGACCGCAAGTTTCTGTTTTCGCTGACTAAGATCGAGACATCTAATGCCTTCATTAACAGTAACCTTGAGAAATAATAATTAAAAATTTTTAAAGAAATAATTTATTTATATTTCTTAATAAAGTGTATATTTTAGATGCATGTACACGTTAATATTTGTCGAATGCACAAAAAATATTTTAAAAGACCTTATTAAGTATTGAAAATACTGTAAAATGGACGACGTTGACTATGTTAAGATAAGTTAGTTAGAAATTGTAGCTTGTCTATACAGACAAAAGAAAGAGCTTAATTTAGTAATAATACGGGCTATCGAAAATGCTATATGACACTAAACGAACTATCTTTATTATGGGAGACTTCAACTACCCTAAAATCACCTGAGACAAGCTAGAAATTCATCCACATAACCAGTAGAGTTACAAAAACCACAAACCAACATATCGTTTTCCCAGAAATGACCAATTTTAAGTTTAATTTTCACATATCCAAAAGATTAATTACCTTTAAGAGTGGGTGCAGATTATCTAAGTGAACTTCCCACACTTGACCATTTTTCAATCCCAATAACAGTCCTTCTTTTCCTGTCGGTCCACCAATATTCTTGATATACCTAATGGGACTATCGAACGTCCAGATTTGCTCTTTCTTTCCAGAAAAAAACATACTCTGGAGCGTCTTTTCTTGGCATATAACTAGATGTTTCGAACAGACTACAAGTAAACTACATTCTAATCTTTGTGTTATTTTTTCTTTAGCTCTGTAATGCATGTCATTGGCGTCTTTAGAGTACAATTCGTAGATTACAACTCTTTCTGGTAACTGAACCTATAAGAGTAATTTTAGATTAGAAAATAGGAAAAAAGTGTATTACTTTCTAAAGAACTTACAGCCAAACGATCAGTATAAATAGCAATCTTCTTTATGAGATCTCTACACTTAATTCTAACCTTCTGTTCGGTAATTAAATGTTGAATTATAATGTCAGTCATATTTTCTCTAAATGCATATCTTTCTCTATAAAGTCCATGCACCATATTGAACACCAATTGATAATAAGCTACAGTGCCATCTTCGCAACCTACTGCCTGAAAATATTTACAAATTGTTAACAGTATTGGAAAATCTGTTTTAAAGATTTACCACAAAGTTTCCATTAGGATGAGCTTCGCAACACCATACCCAAGAGTTCTGCACATCTCCAATCAGCCCCAATTTAATTCCTTCCTTAGTATACATTGTACAAGCCATATTCAATCCACCAATAAGAATGAAATCTCCCTGTGGAAAATATCTCACTCTTAATGCTTCATAACCAAGATTCCTCTCCTTTCCTACTAACTTTCCACCTAATGTGTAAAAACATAAATTTTTACTCCAATCGGTAACGCAAAGAATGTCAGTTTGATCATCCTTATTGGTACACCAGCTGATTGCCCATATTGACGAATTATTAGGGCGCTCAATTTTACTTTTTTCTTCTCCCAACTTATTGCGTATTGATATTACACCGTTGCTTAATCCTAAGGCCAAATATTGGCCATCGTTCGTCCAAGAACAGGAATTTATCCTTGTCTAAAAATATGATATTTATTTACCTATTTTAATAACATGAAATATGCAAAGATATATTATTTTGTTAATGATTATCGCCAGAAAGATTTTTTTATTCTTACATTTATCTTATGTTTTTGAACAGCCTTTTGTTCCGTACTCCAAAACGCGAAATCTGTCAAAGCACATGATGCCAGCTGATGAGATAATGGATTGAATGCTAGGCATTGTACAGAATCGCTATGACTATATTTCAGTAACCCTTCTAATTTATTAGACCATATAATAACAGATTTATCGGCACTTCCGCTGGCAAATTTTTCACCGTTTCGGGCATAGCAGACGGCGTGGACTTTGTCCTTGTGGCCTTTCAAAAGCTGTACTAATGAACCATTACTGGTATCGTATACCAAAACATGGTTACCACCTGCAACTATCAACTGGGTTCCATCAGGGTTGAAACATAGGTCGTAAATACTGAAATATAAATAAGATAAAAATGTTCAATGTTATTTTAGATTTCATATCTTATATTTTCGTTTTTGGAAACCAATATCAATATTTAAAAATCATACAAATCACATAAATATACAGATTTGAAAGTTTTTAAAATCAAAGAGGTGTTAATTATTTTTGGGAGTCATTTTGGCGCAAGTGTCTTATAATCTTTAAAATAGAGTAATACTTTGTGTAGTATTTATTCCATGATGCAATTTGCAAGAATTTAATTAAACAAAAATGTGGATATTAGGAATATACCAACATTTTAACTTTATAAAAAAGAAAATCTAGTACTTATAGTCCGAAAAAGTCCAAAATATTTTTCAATGAAGGGATTAAATAGATTAAAAAAATTATGAAAGGCAAATTATATAAGAAGAAACAAGGCTTCTTGTAAGATTTTCTATGAATATCTCCAATTGTCTAATATATATTCATTTTTAAGTAAATGTCACAGGGAGATTACCATATTATTATAAAAACAATGTTGTCACTCTTAAAGATGGTGAATGATTGTTTAGAGGTACCTATTTTTGAATCAGTGTCGATAAATTTGTCTCACATCGTTCCAGTTAGCTACACAATTATTAATTTTCAATGTGTTTAATACAAGTACAATAATTTTCCTTGCCCTAACAATATTTTATATTATAATATAACTATTGACGTTGTTTTACCCACCCAGCACACCTAAGTATTTACTACCTTTCCTGTAAATTTGATAAAATTAATAGAAAAAATGGCATATTTTTATTTAAAAATATTATTTGTGTCCTTATTATTCATTTGTACAAATGCCTATGGACTTGAGGTTCCTTCTTTACAATAGCAATAGCTACAAGTACCTATGCTTAGTTTTTGAGTAATCTTAAAGAGCTCAAACTAGACATTTACCAAGTAGGTCCATTTATTTAACAAAAAATTATTCTGAAAAAAAAAACACTAATTGTATACATGTAAAAGTATATTCTGCAACTTTAAAGTTCAAGTTTTAATGATTATATTTATTACCTACACATTCTATATAAATAAAAATGTCCTAGATGTATTCGGTCATAATTTTATTTTATATCGTTAGCATAGCACTACATATGTTTCGGAAAACTTTGTTTCCATCTTCGGGTGCAATCAAAATTTAAAAACAATAAAAAACACATGGGGACGATTACAAAGCTTAAAAAATTGTTTAATACACATTCATAGCTCCACCATGATTAAAAGATTTAGACCAGTTCTCTAAATACCTAATTTGGCTCTATAGTTATTTATTTATTTTAATTAAAAACAAAAACTCACCTTTGTCCGCATTTATCACTATCTTGGATTTTATCAACCCATTTTGGTATGTACCTCATTTTTAATACCTAAAAGCAACTTTTACTCTTAAACTTACACTAATTAATTCACTATTTTTGTTCATTATACTGGGAATATTCGAAATTTTCACACATTCATTTTCATTGTTGTTAAAGAGACGACGCCAAGCTGTTGCCAGGCAACCATAATAATTTTGACACTGACTTCCGACTATTTTTGTCTTCCCAAAATGTATTTACCTTAATTAACTCAATTTATTTATATCAATAACTTAGATAACAAATTTTTTCACCTCTTAATTTCATTTAAAAATTAAAGAATTCAAATTTAGCTGTCCACCTGTTAAAATACCAGCACAATAACACATAATGAAACGTAAATAGACCAACGTTATTTCCATAGCAGGTGCAAAAAGAAACAGGTAGAACAGGTACTAGTTAGCACTGTATTGAATAAGAGAGAGACGGAAAAAATTAAATCGACCTTCTGTGTTCTGTGAACGTAGTTCTAATCGTTATTCCGGTATCGGAGTAAATTTTATTTTGAACAGAACCGGACTAAACAAATTTATGCGTGTATTGTAATTGCCGATATTTTATATTGATTTAAAAATGTTTTGTAAGAACTTCAGCAGAAGAAAATTATGTTAGAGCAATCAAAAACAGCCGTAAAAGGGGTAAATGCCGCACCTGGTCAAACACAGCAGGAAGTTAATGATAACAATTGCTTCACATCTCTTATTTCTTTAATTTGTGGACCGCTATTAAAAGAAATTAATGACACAGTACCACCTCCGACCGAAACTGCACCATTAAAAGCTACGTTAAATGGTAGGTGGAGATTGCATGATCTTGTTTGGCTTAAATCAAGTTTCGTCGTTCAATTATCGCTTGGTTTAGTTTATAGATAGATAGAATTTGCATGATTTAAGGATTATTCAACAGCAATTATACCTACAGTAATTTATTAACTGCTGATCAATCATTACATGAGTCAGTGTAATAGAATTTATTAATTTAACAATTTACATGCTATGATATCAAAACGATAGACACACGATTCCTTTTAAACGATTTTTTGTTATTGAATTTTATATTTCATTACTTCATTCCTAATTTGTAAATATTTTAAATTATTTTCTATTTACATGCACAAATTAATTTACCAGTTTTCACTGTGTATGATTTAATTAAAGTCAATTGAAAATGCAAAAAATACGAAGACGTTGGACTCTTTTGATTTCAAATGCCGCTCATAGGTACAGATATTTGTTTTAAGTACTTAAAAGCTTTATACAATATTTTTTTCTTTCGTAAAATTTTAATTTTTTAAAATTTTGCAGCAATAATCGTGCCATAGATTCTAATTAAATAGTTTGAATTAGTATTTTAAAAGGTTGCGTTTGATTTTATTTATTCATGAAATATTTTAAAAAATGTATTGTTTATCACACATCAACTCTCTTCCTTTTTCCGGGTTTGAGACCGTGAGAGATAAGCTGTCAAACTCGCGGATATCAATGCGGCACACCTGGGAATCGCGCACACAAGGTCACACATCTGTTTTACATGGACGACCTAAAGATCTATGCTATGAGTGATCTAGATTTACAACAATCTCTGAAAGTGGTGCAAAATATACACGGGATATCGGTATGGAATTTGGATTGGACAAATGCGCCGTTCTGAAACTTCATCAAAACAACTAGTGGTGAAGATACAGAAAGCGGTAGTCCTTAGGTCCCTTCGTTTTTTGAGGCAATTGAATTTGGCCGAAGATCACTGACCGAGCGGATGTAAGCAGTGATCTTCTCAGCGACCAGGCCTTTCGCGTAATGTACTGGGTGTGTCGGAATCCCAGGAACGTTTCGACGAATTTTTTACACACAATAATAATAAATAATATATAAAAATTCATATCTTTGTGAGATCTAACTTCTACCTTTTAAAATATTTACCATTGTTAGTTATATTATCAGATACCTACGTTTTTTATGCTCAGAATAGCAGTACGTGTAGCAGAAATAGCATACGTACTTCGTAAAAACAGCATTTTTAGTTGACTTTAAATAAACTTTACCCATTAATTCAAAATAGTTACTGATCCATTTTTAATTTCAGAATTAAACATAACTGGATTTTCTAAGGATATTTGTAGAAGTATGGTATCCATGTTAGATTTGGATAGGTCTGGAAAATTAGGTTATGTAGAATTCAAGCAATTATGGGAAATCATTAGACAATGGAAGGTAAATGGTTTTAATGTAATGTTTTTAGTAATATTCATGTTATATTAGATGAGTATTTCCAGTTGGATGTAATCGTGGTTTATCTGGCAGTTGTTAATTTAAAAACAGGTCCTTTTTTGGGAAAAATTGAGTAAAAAAGTTGATAAAGTAATCGGTAGGCAATTATTAATTTCAAAATCTGATTATTTTACTATAAAATAGGAACTATTTTACTACTCATTTCCTATTTTCCTATAATTTAAAAAAAATTATAACCTTTTAAACGTACGAACAAAATTACATTTATAAAAAATACCTTTTAAAATAGTTTTAAATATACTTAAGCAACCTGAGCTAAAATTTTATACCTATAAAAAAACTACCCCTTATAAACTCATTTAATTTTTTTCAGAATGTATGGTTGTTATATGATAAGGATAAGTCAGGAACCTTTAGCGGTTTTGAATTTAGGGATGCCTTGACCTCTGCAGGTTATAAACTTAACAGTAAAGTTTTAAACATTCTAATGCACAGGTATGGCAATAGCTCTGGCCAATTGGACTTTGATGACTTTATGATGTGTTCAGTTAAATTAAAGACTATGATAGGTAAGGAAAATTCTGGAATTTTGAAATATTTTTCTTTATTATTTGAAATTACCAGACAAGGGAAAAAATAAAATTATAATTCTACAAAATTTCAACAACTTTTCACACTTTTAGGATCCATAAAATCAATGTTTTGCATTCACTTCGGTTAACTCCTACTCTAATTCAAGTTCAGCTGCAGTTTAATGTATTTTTTTTTTTTACTTCTTCAGATATATTCAATGCCAAAGATCCAGAAGGAAAAAATACGGCCACTTTTTCATTAGAAGAATGGTTGGATAATACATTATATTCTTAAATATTTTCTTAAAATATACATTTAGCAAGTATCTACAACTTTCCAATATTTTTAAAATTAATTATATTATAAAATTAATCTATTCAAATATTTAAAAAATATGTATCTATAAAATTTATTAAATACAATTCTACATTCCTGTTAAACTTTTTGACTTATTGTTGAATGACTGTATTTTTTAATCGAGTTTATACAGGTTTGCACATAATTAGAAAGAAATAACATTTATCCAACATCTGTTTTATACATATCTAATTCTTTGATTAAAACATATAGTTATTTCGATGAATGTTAGTATATTTGCTATTTAAGTTAACTGTATATACGTTAACCGACACATCAAGCAAAATAAAGATGAGGCGCTTAATTATATATAAATTTGAGTGATATAAGGATAGTAATTTATGAAATCGTATACTACCCCATTTTATTAATGAATGTAACCGCCGTTTTATTATCAATGTGAAGTAAAGTACACAAATTCTTATCTTATTTCTAAAATTAAGTAATTGGAATCGTTACTCATTTAAATCTATTAGTTTTTACGGTTTCCTAAAAAAATATAGATATACATACGACTTAAGTATTGATAAGATAAATAAATATCAAATATCCCGATATCGATAACAAATACGGTGCATTCGCAACTAATTGCCCAAAAATAGGTAGATAGGATTAAAAGTATCATAATGAACGAAATAACAAAAAATTATTTAGAAGATGGAGAGTATTTTTTTGAAAAAAATCGTCACATGTGTACTGGATTTGATCCAAGAAAGATTTATTTGGTAAGTGATTGTTTGAGTACTAGTATTTTTTGTTTTAATTTAATAAGTAGAATAGATTACTCATCAATTTCTCAAAATGTGATCAATATTATTGAAAGAATAAAATACAACTCAAAAATTTGTTCATTCGGTGTCTACAGTCACTATCGTCAACTACTAAAGTTATTAGGCTCCATTATTGCCCCAAAATGCATAGTAGTAAAAAAAAGTATGTAGTAAATATCAATTCACTATCATTTGAAATTTATTATATTTGTGTGAGTCATAAGTCATAAGTTAACAAAGACAAAATATAAATGATTTTAGTTAGGCGAAAAGTATTCTGGATTAAAACCAAGAGGTGCTTTACAAAAATTTGATGACATCAGGGATAATTTTCTTGCAAAAAATGCATTATTTGAGGATCCACAATTTACACCAGAAAAAATCGATCTAGGAGATGATTGGGAAAAAGAAAGAAGTAAAATTGAATGGCTAAGGCCCAAGGTTTGTATATTATATCTATGTTATAACGAGCATTCCTTTTTTTTCTCGTTTGTTAATAAAATATATAGTTTTTATAGGGCAAAGATTTTTTAAAACCACCTAACAAACATTTTTAAATGTATGTACGTTACTTCAAGTAGTGTCCTCTCCCATTTATAAGTCGATTTTTTCTCTTCATCGCTTTACCAGTAATAAGTAGTGAAAGGCCTGCAAATGGCCCGCTGTTTCCCATAATATTATTGTTAACTTCCCTTAAATGGACTTACATAAGGCCAGCAAATGGCCAACAGCTTCCCATACTATTTTTTTTTCTCCTGGGCTCTTCTATGTCTCCGAATAACACTGAAGCCTATTGGCTTATTGTGTTTTACCCCATGTTAGTTCATAGCACCCACTCTGTCACATTTGTACCTTGTACAAGTTTGTAAAGATCCTTGGGTGAGTGGGTTCTATACGTTGTTGGATTAACCTGGGGTTGTCCAAAAATAGCCTGTATTTTGCGATCTAGAGCTTCGCATTCGCACAGTATGTTTTTGGCCGTTTCTGGTTTCTTGTGACAGTCGGCACATGAGTTCTCCATTGTACATGCCAATTTTGTTCAAGTGTCCCTTTACTGGGGCGTGCCCAGTCATGAACCCTGTTATCACTTTAAACTGGTTCCTATTCATAAAGAGTAGTTCTCTAGTTCTTTTGGGACATGGTCTGCCTATGAAGGCTTTTCCATGTGCCTGTTTTAGGGTTCCTCCCCAATAGTTGATATGTTGTTCCCGAATCCAGTCGATTATGAAACCCCGGTCTGTACTTTTTGGTACTCCTGGGTTTGTCTCTGGTCCCGGTGTTTCTTCTTACCTTCTTTTTGCAAGTTCGTCGGCCTTTTCGTTGCCTTCGATCCTTTGGTGACCTGGCATCCAAAATAGTTTTACTCTATTTCGGTCTGCCAGTGTTCTTAGTTCTTCGATGCATATGCGTATGCCTCTCCAAGGAATGTATTCCTATAGCATAGCTGTGGTTAGTATCAGGGTTTTTGGAGAATACTCCTGCCCCGGTGCCTTCCGCAGTCTTAGACCCGTCTGTATACCAGGTTTGTTCCTGTCGTTGGACATTGAGCTGCCTTGTGGTGATCTCCGCTCTTTCCTGTATTAAAACCTCAAATGGAGTATTAAAAGATTTTCCAGTGTATTCCCCGATCTATAAGCACCTAATCTTGCCTCCCCTTGTATCATATAGTGAAGAAGTGGAAGTCCTATTAGTGTTTCCATTGCAGCTATGGGGGTTGTTTTCAATGCCAACTTCTTTTTAATGGGTTTGCATATTGACATGCCACTTTACTTGCAATAATTAGTGAAAGCCCTGCACTTTTGCCAGCAGTTTTTCAAAATAATAATGTTAACTTCCCTTCAAAGGGATTGCATTAGTCTAATAGATGGCAGATGTCACGGTTTAGCACTGAGACCTGATTGCTCTACAGCATCTGTACTCAACCTTTTCTTCTTACGGGCCAAATAAATCTGTTTGTTATTCTACACGGGCCACAATATTTTAGGGTGATAGCTAAAGTTGTCACCGTTTTGAAATATGGGTGACGATAGGGATCCGCTTTAAATATTTTCTAAAAAAAATCCTCATGTTTTAGTTCTTTTAATAAGCTTTGAAAAGTAACAAGGACAATTCGAGTCTTGTGTCAAAAAAGGAATGTAGGCCAAAAGCTTGGAAGGCCGCAAGTTGAGTATGGCTGCTCGACAGTGTTATCAATTAGTGTGACATTTAGTAATTTACTTTTATAAGGCGGCAACGAGGTTTACTAAAAACTATTTATACTTCTTAGATACTACTAGGATGTAATTTCATTAATCACCCAAAGATTTACACCTTTAAGTATCAGCACTCAATAAAGACATAAGAGTCAATATTGCTTATTATGATTGTGTTATTGAAAAATCTTTAACTAGTTCTAACTAAATTATAATTATATTCATTTAAAGAACATCGTATCAAACCCTTGCTTTCTTGATGACGCCGAAGATAGATTTGATATTAACCAAGGAGGTCTTGGAGATTGTTGGTTTCTAGCAGCTCTAGCAGAAATTACGCAAAATCGTAAACTATTGACATTAATTGTACCGGAAGATCAAAGCTTTTCTGATAAATATGCTGGAGTTTTTCATTTTAGGTAATTAAATAATTTTAGATTATTATATTTTATTTTGCTTACCATGGACGCCGTTCACAAAATTTCCAAAGGGTCTTACAGGCAGGCGAAAACAGTGACGGCGCCCATGTAGTGAACTTATTTTTAAGAAATATTTACTTTTGACTTACAGATTTTGGCAATATGGAAGATGGATTGATATTGTAATAGATGACCGATTACCTACAATTAACGGTCAGTTGATATTTGACAGGTCTAATTGCAAAAATGTTTTTTGGACACCTTTATTGGAAAAGGCGTATGCTAAGTAAGCTCTTTGTAGAAATTAAAAAACATATTTTGATTACAAAATATTTCAGATTATATGGATCTTACAAAAATATAGAAAGTGGTTTAATTTCTGAAGCATTGGAAGATTTTACAGGTGGTTTAAATGAAGTATACCAGGAATTACTTGAAACCAGTAAAGTACTCAACTTTTATGAAATGATGTTGGTTTCTTACGAAAGAAAATCATTTATGGGATGCGGAATAACGGTAATGTTGTTATTTTTATTTAGGTATTAATTTTATACTACTTATTTCTCAACATATGCGCCATTTAATCTATTTAATAGCCGCCATATAGGTGCTTTGTGGTAGCCATTGATTTGCATTCAATGTAAAAAAGTACACAGTAATGCTGTACCTTCTCGAGCAGAGCAAGTAGATTTTTTGATTACGTGACATCGAGAAAACCATATCTACGGAGCAAACGGAAAAAGTACCAGATAGTTCTTTTTGAACAAATATATTTTTATTAAATTCCTTCGAGCTAGGCCAGTGATATTAATTTGTTACAATTCCGTGTTACCACGACTTCAGTATTTCACCAAATCTAGTGTACCTACGAGAAGTTCACAGTTTTGGTGATGATTCTCATAAGAACTTCATAGTAATAAATCCCTGACATTTTTTTATCATCCATTGCTCTGATGACTGCAGGTACTCGTCATTTTTCAGAAAGATTCTCTCTATTCCACGCTTTTAGGGACTTTTTAGGAATAGCAGTCATGTTGGTGTACTTATGTCTCAAAGTTTATGTTTCAGAAAAGAAAAAGTACTGGACGCTTTTAAAAATTTTCTACATCTTTCTTCTGCTTTATTAAGGCGATTTAATTTCCTAGTTCTGGTAGGAATTTTAGATAGAAAATTGTTGCGTTTTTACTATATTTGGACACCCAGTACAGTCGGATTGGGCCCTCGTTCAAGCAGTGGGTCCTTGTTCAGTTAATAGACCCTTGAGAACAACAAATGCGAAGAAACCTCGAAAAAAAGCACCAGTGTGCAAAGAAGAGTTTTTTTTGCTATTCTAGGAATGGCCCATGAAAAAAATTGACCTGACCGGTAGATTCTGGAGGTTCCAATCTGACACTGACCCAGTATAATTGCTTTAAACTATAACATAGGTACCAATATTACTGTTTTCAAAAATGGGACGTCTCTATTTCCAGGATTTAGGAGGACTCGAGGAGGAAAGAAAAGATGGTCTATATTCAAGACATGCATACAGTATTACTGAAGTTAGGAAAGTTACCTGTAAGCTTGGGAATATTTACAAATTGCTAAGACTTAGAAATCCATGGGGTCATGGAGAATGGAACGGAGATTGGAGTGATAAGTAAGTTCATAACAAAAATAACACACTTCTTCTCTTCTATATCTTATGTCGTTATGCATCTCTGATATTTGATTGTTTTCGACTCAATAGCAAGAGTTACTAGGTTTCTTTGGGTTCTTCAAAAATACGTAGAGAACTATCAAAGAACGTGAGAAATAATTTGCTATTTAACTATTCTACTGAATTTTGGACGGTTTGCCAAACCCAAACAAACCTACTATGAATTAAATACAAAGTTATGATCTACAGACAACTATATTATAAAAAAAAATATTTTCTATATAAAATTGTATCGCTTTAGATCCACAAAATGGGATCTTCTTCCAGACGAAACGAAAGAACAACTTTTGAAAAGAATAGACAATGGTGAATTTTGGATGCAATTTGAAGACTTCATCGAGGCTTACAACCTTCTGGAATTTTGTCATCCCAATCCTGATTCAGTTGCATATGCTAAAGATGAGGTTAACCAATGGAAAAGTTTCATGCTGGATGGTTCTTGGGTTGCAAAAGTCAGTAATGGAGGATTACCAACATGTAGAAGTAAATATTAAAACTAATATTATTCAAATAAACATAATTGTATTTTTTTACAGATTTTTACTTGAATTCACAATACTTACTAACGATAAATGAAAAAAACGATATTAAACAAAAAGTTGTGATTGGATTGATGCAAAAAAATAGGAGGATTTATAATATTTCAGAATTACCATTAGGATTTGCAATATATACGGTAAGTTTTTATACTTTTTCTTCTTCAGTACCATCTTGAACCATTAAAGAGTCATATTTTTAAATAACTTACCGATCACGTCTTGGATTGCAAGAAGATGTTGGCACAAAAAGCATCCAATATTCTAATGCCGTCACTCTTGAGCTTTATGAGTTCTGAAGAAATACTAGTTTGATAGCAGAGGTTATGGAAATGCAAAAAAGAATATCTCCAATATCTAATAATACTTTTAATTTGTTCTGTTTCTTCCCGTAGCTTTGCGTATTCCTTCATTGTTTTATGTCTGGTTTAGTTCAACTATCGTGTGCTGTATATAGTGTTGTCTATCTTATGACCCCAGCTTATGATTCCATTACAATTGTTTGATATGTAAGAAACTCTTTTTTAGTTACAAGCTGCTGCTAACGGTCCGCTGTCTCCCAATTACTTTTCTTCAATCAAACCAACATATGTTAGTAAAGTGGAGATCAACAAGCAAGTAACAGGTCATGTGGAGTTACCAAATGGGACATACTGTATAATACCGTTTACGGAAGATACTAAATCAAGCTGCGAATATTTGCTGAGGATATATTCCAGCGTTGATTTTAATGTCAAGTAAGTGTATGTTTTTGATATTAAATTTTTGTATATTAGCTGGACAATTTTCTCTTGTTTTTCCCTAATTTTGGCAGGGGTTCACTCATTGTTGACGTTGACTTTAGTTGTTCTTAGTTCGCAGTCGCAATCTTGATGGCAGAAGTCTTTTGCGATTATTTATGGTTATTGGTCATATAATAGTCCTAATTGCCCTAGTATCCACCAACAGCATATACTTTCTACCATTTATTTTACCGTCTACGTATAATCTTTGGAACGGTTCTAGGTTGAAGCTGCTCCCTCAATGCTGATCCTTTCTAGTTTCTCTGCGGCGTATTGTCTTGTTTTGATACGAAGCTGTTTCCACGTACATGTCCCAGTTCACCACAATTTCAGCATCTGATTGTCTTCTTTTTCATTTTCTTGGTCTAGTTTATCTTCTTCTTTCACGTTCCTTACTTACTGTACTCACCAGAATCATGTGGACAAAATATCGCCCAATGTTTTCTTCATTTCATGTTCATGGAGTCCATTAACAAATGTTTGGACAGCTAGACGTGTCGTTCTTTTTTAATTTTTATTTATTTTTAACTTCTAAGTATATTTTTTTATTGCCTCTCTGCCTGTCTTTTCCTAGTAGTGTCTTCAGATAATCCTCCAGTCTAAAGACTGCTTAATATATTTTAGTAAAAGAAATAGATTAAAAAATTATACATATATGTGCTATGTAAGTAATAATAAAAACTATTATTTTTAGTGAGAATGATGTAGAAGTTAAATTGATTGATGCTTCAGGATTTGTAGGGGTAAGAACATCAATTTGTTTCATTTATTTATTACTTTAATTATTATTTTCAATTATCTTTAGTTTGGAGCAGGTTCTGATACTGTTGATAGTGCTTCAGCAGATAAAGCAATTAAGGAGGTATTTGCAGGAATTGCAGGAACAGATACTGAGTTGGGATGGAAGAGTTTAAAATCAGTTTTGGATCTTATTTTTAAGCAAGGTAAGTTTTTTTCAATAATTTTGCTTGGTTCTGTTAAACTGCCAAATTAAAACTGCGAAATTCGAGTTGTGTTTGTTGTTTTACAATTAGAGCTACTCATTCATACTTTGAATTTTAACCATATTTTAACTGATTAACTTTAAACAAGGCGTTTCAGTAAAATTACAACAAGAAGGAGAAGTACTTTTGAAAAACTTGCTTGCTTAGGTTTATCGCCAAAAAGCAAATGATCAAGTTTACGAAACAGTGTTAGGCTAAACAAATTAAAATTAGAAAGATACAATAGACACAATAGAAAAATACAATAGAAAGACACAATAGAAAGATACAATAGAAAGACAAAATGAAAAGACACAGTAGAAAGACAAAATATAAAGACACAATAGAAAGACGCAATAAAAAGACACAAGACACAATAGACAATAAAGAGACAATAGAAATACACAATAAAGAGACAATAGAAAGATTAAATTGAAAGACACAATAAAATGACATAATAGAAAGATAGACAAAATAGAAAGACTAAATAGAGAGACACAATAGAAAGACGCAATAAAAAGACACAATAGAAATACACAATAAAGAGACAATAGAAATACACAATAAAGAGACAATAGAAATACACAATAAAGAGACAATAGAAAGATTAAATTGAAAGACACAATATAAAGACATAATAGAAAGATAGACAAAATAGAAAGACACAATAGAAAGACAAACTAGAAAGACACAATAGAAAGACTAAATAGAGAGACACAATAAAAAGACACAATAGAAAGACTAAATAGAAAGACACAATAGAAAGACACAATAGAAAATAGAAAGACAATAGAAAGATACAATAGAAAGATACAATAGAAAGACACAATAGAAAGAAAGACACAAAAGAAAGACAATATATTTTTCGGAAAATTGTTAACTGGAACATTATTTGCAGAAAATCACGAATTATCTAAAGAACTTTGTCGCAGTATGGTCGCTCTTGCAGATAATGACTATTCTGGAAAACTCAATTTTAATGAATTTTACCAGCTTTGGGAACAAATAGGAAATCTTAGGGTGAGTACTTTATAATTAATTTTTAACTTCACTTTTCATTAGAATTTGTATAATCAACCAAACGTTTCTAGACACAATAACATTGGTAGGGGAGCTAGAAACAATTTTTTACCTTGCGTAAGATAAAATATTTTGCTAAAGGAGTGTAGACACACCAGCGGTGAAGTACTCGATGATGATGTCTTAAAAAAGACGCTGGAGAATATGCGAATGTCAAAGAAATGCAAACTTAAAACTTACACATAATACTAATTACATAAAAAAATAATAGAAAAAAGTTCGCCTTGGTAGCAGTGAAAAAAGAAATATACGTTGTAGGCTCAATTTTTGTCCATAACAGAATGATATATGTTAATAATAAAAATTGAATCTATTTGGCGTTGGAAAGACCTGGCAGCATATCTAGAAGGTACTGCTAAATTTTAAGAAGCGTTGCTTCTGCTGTTTTTTTCTCAGAGTGCAATCTCTCCTCTCAAATTTCAATTAATCAATTTCTCCCCAAAATCTATTACAATGCTACTGGTTAGCAGATTGGCCAAGATCTACTTCTAAGTAATATCTACTTTAATATCCTTAGTTGGTTTATATGTTACACATTCATAGTAACAGGAGATTGTGAGGATGATAACATTATTATGCCAAAAGATACACGTTCAATCAAAATTTGTTTGGTCACTCTCACTAGGATCTTTAATGTTCTTTAAACATTATTTTGCCGACAAATTTTCGGGAAATAAGTATTGGTTGTCTCTCTTATGAACCGTATCAACAGGGATAATGATAAAACTACTACATCGTCTGTGTTTTAGGTTTTAGGCAGAGTAGAGAAGCAGAAGAGTGATTTTACTAGTTTTGTTTATATATACGATGCCGCTAACAAGGGGCAGCAAAATTTTTTTATTTACCGTTGATGCAATTATTATTATGTGTAAGTTTCAAGTTTGCGCTTTTTTGACATTTAACAATTTTCTACAACAGCATTTTCAAGGAACAATTAATGTTTTTTTCTGTTATAGGGTATTTTCAGAAATTATGATTCGGACACGTCCAATGGAATGCGTGCTAGTGAATTACGATCAGCATTGAAAGCAGCCAATCTTCAAGTCAGTAACAAAATTTTAAGGATGATCGTCTTAAGATTTTCTAACGAAAACGGAGAATTGGATATGGAAGATTTTTTGCATTGCTGTATTAAGTTAAAAATGATGATAGGTATTATTTGCTTAGATTTTCCAACTTTCTTATTGGTTCAAGAGATATTCTATTATTAAGTTATTTAAATTAGCCTTTATGCAAACGGAAGTACCGTCAAAATGTATGAATTTTTGATATATTAACTTATTTGAATGCCCAATCCTATCATATAACTAGATTTTCAGATACAGGGTGTTGAAGTTAGAAATCCCTAATTCTTTCAAATGTACCCAAAAAAAATCATTCTTTAATATTTTTGAAAGTTATCTGTGTAGTTAAAGTACATACTTAACTGCTATAATCAAAATATTGTCGCTTATAGGGTGATTCATGATTCCGCAGATTTTTTTTCATCAAGGTAGGTATTTTCACCGAACAAAAATGCCAAAAATACCACCGTCAAAGTCTTTTACTCGTTCGAAATTCTTATTGGTAAAATAGGATCTTATGACTATAGTTTCCAAATACAGCTTAATATGGTCTAATATATGAATTTTAAACAATAAATATAATGAAAAATTGAACTCAGATATGGGCTTAGTGTGCATTAATGCATTTCTCATATATACCGATGATGTATAAAGGTATTTGAAGATTTATAAAGTGAAAAAAATCAACAAGGAATGTTGAAATTGTTGACAAAGAATGGAAACTAATTTCTTTGTTCATTCAAAAGGCAACATACAGGGTCATACAATATTTCTTTAGAAAAAAGTATCGAGGATTTATATAGCAAATTTTGTATTAAATAAACTTTTTCTTTCACATTTTTTGATAATGTTTTAAATAAAGTTTACACAGATCTTGTAGATATTTTTTGACACCTGTGTTGTTGCCCAAAATAGTTGATATACCTAGTTAATGTAATTTTTTTTTTAGATATTTATCATAACTCACGGACAAAACCTGAAATTACTCTAGAAAAATGGTTGCTAGAAACTATTTATACTTAACATTTTAACATAGGTACTACCATTCATACTTATAATAAAATTATGTTTGTATATTAATTTGTTTTATTTAAAAAAAATAAATAAAAGCATAGTTCTTTATTTTCTGAATATAGAGAGATCATTCATTTGAGGTAAATATTTATTAAAATATAGCAAGGGTGATGTTGAATGCTATGTATTCCGTAGGTTCGGAGAGCTCTTCTTACTTTTGGAAAGCATTAAAACCGTTAAAACTTTGTGGCATTAGATTATTACATACTTAACAAATTACTAACAAAGAAAATTACTTTTGACAAAGAAAAGAACTTAAATAATTGAATATAAAAGGCAAAAACACAAAATATGGTACTGATTGCTTTTTCGGCAAGAATTGACTTGAGTCTTAGGGTATGGTTCGTTATTAACCCACTACTAACCGCAAGTAATCAGGATTTTTTGACAGCGGTTCCTGAAAAAACTAATTTCTTTGGTTACTTTTAGACCACGGCTGTCAATTTTGTAAAAGATTGACATTCGACTTAATGGTAATCTCAAAAATATGCTGGTTAGTGAATTGACATTTGAGTCACCATTTTCAGGTAACCGCGTCCCTAATTTAACCGATTTTTCAGGAATGTCAAGCATAGCGGTTAGTTTTGGACCGATTAACCCATCTGTCTCTTTTGATCGAAGTATCGATCTGGTAGAAATTAAGAATGATGTCCAAGGGTAGGCAACTTTATATACACATGTATATGTTGGGTTATCGTAATAGTAGGGTGTTACAAAAATTAGTATTCATATAATAAAAATCGTTCATGATACTTATTAATTGGGTACTGATAATTAAGGATTTGAATCTTTGGGTGATTTTATATCAACATATGTCGTAAACAACGGCGGCTCCAGGAGGTCTACACCCCCCGCTCGAGATGAAAATTCTTACGATTTATGGGCATTTTATTCAAAAAATATGCTAAAAAGGGAATGGCTAAAAGCAATCCCCCTCCCCCCTTCGAAAATTCGTCTTGAGGCCGCTCTTGGTCGTAAACCTCTTAATTTTAAGAAAATAATAACTTTTTTAATATAATTTTCTTATTACTCCAGATATTTTTATAAAATATTTGTATACATCTATTAATCTTTTTTCCTCAAAAATATTCAGTTTAAATCCCGTATTGATGTCACTGGTGAAAATTTAAAAAAATCTTTAACGACAAAAAATGTTCCTTAATGATTAAAAGTTGTGTACAAAATTTCATAAAAATATTCGGAGCGATAAGAAAATTATTAAAAAAATGTGTTTCTTAAAACTGTAACACCCTGTAGCTTAAGAATTAAGATGTTTACGATGTATGTTATGTAGATATTAACTTTTCTTCTTAAAATCACCTAATGATTCACATCAGCACACAATTAATAAACATCCTGTATATACAAAACATATTTTAAAACATTAATATAGAAATCTGCTATTAGTTTGAATGTAGTATGAGATATCGTTTATAGATGGAGCGAGAAGTGCCTTGCTGGGATGTAGAGAAAATTTATAACATACAGGGCGAGTCACATGTACATCATCGTTATAATTAAAATGTCTGAATTAATTTTTGTTTTAAAGTTTTCTTATAAAGGATACTTACTTATTAATTATTCTGTAAAGTCGTAGATTAGTTCAGGGCGGGACAAATTCCCGAGGCCCGGGCATAAGGGGGACCCGACAGCTTTAGGTGAGGACGTTTTATTTTTTTAGAAGTTTGTTTACAAAAAATACAAGGTGAGGACTTTTTTTTAGGTTTCACTAAAAAGGATCTGAGTTTTTTTTTTTTTTCATTTAGAAATGTGATATCGAAAGAGCTTAATTTTTTTATAAAATTGTCCCAAGGCCCCACCTGACTCTCGGCGGCCCTGACTTAGTTATATAGTTACTTTTTTTGTGGAAAACAACAGTGGGTAATCGCAATTAATTTTTAATAATATTGGATTATATTGTTTTAATGTTTTTAAACATTTAACGAAGAAAAATGTTTGTACGCTGCATAATTACACCAGTGGCGCAACCTATAAGGGGTGACAATTTGAAAATTTACAAAGATCAATTAATTGATGCTTACAGTTCATCAAATTTCTAGAGGTGTTTGACGCCCAGACAGAGAACGCGCTACGTGTGACTAAGATAGCTATTGTACAGTCTGTTAAACAAGTTATTTTAAATAGTTTTTAATATTTTTAGGTAATTAAATTTTAAAAGTGTGGAATAGTTTAGGGATTAAATTGGTCTGATTGGACTTTCTTAGAACGTTTTTAAAAGCAGCTAAAGATAGTATGTAGAATTGAAAATAATTATTATGCCATAAAAGGTGTTTTGGAATTCCTTCAACCTTTTGAAATTGAGTCAGAAAATATAAATTTTATAGGATAGCGGAAAATACCTATAATTTTTTTGTAGGCCTTTGTAAATCGTGGAAATAGCTTATATTTTATTTCTACCTTATTAAGGAAAATGGTACCTATTATTAATAACGGTTGTTTCTGAAACATTACTAAAATTTTCGAAATTTTGTTTTTCTACAAAATAATAAACTATACTATTTAGAAAAAAAATTATTTCTCTTATAATTTTATAAAAAATAACAGGGGAATATTTACATTTCTTGATCTATTAAACAAAACGATAAATTATCTCGACGAATGACACCATGTTCTAGTACGGAAGCTAGCTTTACATTTTTGTTGGTGGTTTCATGGGTTTCATATCAATTTTTTGTAATTGTAGTTTACACGTACATATACCTCTTAACACTTGTTTGCTTTATTAAAAAAGTGTGTTGTTGTGATTTACGTCGAAATAAGTCAAAAACAACTTGAAACCCCATATAAAATCAAAAAGGAGAAACGGAAAAAAATTGAGCCTGTAAATGAACACAACTCAGAAACAAAAATAGCTATCTAATAATAAAAAAATAAAATTTGATTCTTGTGCAGCTTCATCTATATCATTAACTGTTTTTGGTTTTTTAATGGTTTTTCTTGGTGATGAAAATTCCGATATCTCACGGTTATCGATTCTTTTTTTCTCTCCAGAAATGCGGACGACAGTGTTTTTAGATACTCCTGTGGCTGCAGCAACACGATCATTTACATTTTTAAATGGTATTGAAGGTGAATTAAAGTTTCCTTCTCTTCTCATAAACTCTATAACATTGGCTATTATTTCGCGAGATTGACTGTTAATCACGCGGCCTCTTAATTTGCTATTAAACTCCATACTTAGGTTCTATTAAACTGTAATGAGCAAAAAACACAAACGAAAATAAAAGAAATGTTTTAGCGAAATTTACATCTGACATTTACGTCTGAATAAAATAGTGAAATACTTGATGCGCAGAGTGTACTTTCATTGCGTAAATCCGTCGGGATGCCTGTCAGTAGTGCTTTCTCTGTCTAGCCGTCGAAAGCCTCTAGAAATTTGATGAACTGTAAAATCATTTCTAGGTTATGATGGGGGAACTTAAATGAAATACAAAACAAAAAAAATAACCCAGTAAGCCACAAATAGTTGGCATTCGCTCGGCCTGATACTGGCATGTACGGGAAGCCGAGTACTTGGATTGCCGTTGTCGGGGTTTCTTCTGAGCCGGAAGTATTGTACAATTTGACGTAATTTAGAAGTAGAAACCGCATGTGGTCCATATTTGGCTTTGCAGACATGGGAAGCATCTTTACGAGCCGAATTATATATAGATATATGAACGCGGCTACAATGTAATGGGCTGCCAACATTCGGCTGGGCGGACAAGCCCTACCTTTATGCCGAAGCTGCACCCGCATATCGGGCCGAGTACGGCATTCGGCAAGACTCCTTCGGCCCAGTTACGGTGCCGATTAACTGTGTTTATTGAGAACCCCATAATTGTAATAATTATATCATTGGAAAGCTAGTAAAAAAAATATTTTCAACGATAAAAGTTATACGTTATACAGAGTGGTTCAATAGTACCTACATAATATTTAAAACCTATTTTTAACTGCTTATTTTCTTTTTTAAAAACATTTAAGAAAGCATGTTTATCTGAATTAAATATTTTTTAATATTTCCAGTCCAGCAGTACAAAATAAATTGTTTTGTTTTGAAAGTCTAACTTCTAAAGGAAAAATCGCACAAACTTTTAAAGGACATTTTCTTTTTTTTTTCTCATGACATTCTAAGGTATTCCACGACATACTTTTTAGTTTTGTAGTCTGTGGGTGTAGAAAAGAGGTTTTTTACAATCAAAATCCCGCTAATTTTTAAATCAAATAAAATGTTGCAGGTATCTGTATTACCGACTGAGTAATAGTTGGACAAATACCTCCCATATGGCGCTGATAGCAAACTTGTTGCTATATTTCTACATAGAAACGGCAACTCTTAACTATTCTTCCTTCATGATACTTATTTTTAAATAAATACAGTAAAGAGAAATTGCTGATTGGCTAAAACATAACTAGGTGCAATAAAAAACAGTTAGTTTAGTTTTAATTCAAAACCGTACATAGTTACCACAAATATGACTCGTTTTTGTCTTTTTTAGCCCGGACCAACTTTAGAAACATTTTCTTTAATATTAACTCCTGCTTTTACAATTTTCCATCTAATTGGATGCTTAAAGTATTCTAAATAATTAAAAAAACAATTTCAAATAAATACGTCTGTGATTGATAATGACAAGCAGTTATGTTCCTGGGTTATCGTGTAACCTAACACCGTGGGGGTCAACTTCCCTTCTTTTCCTGCACTTTTGACACGTGGTCTGTCGCGTGCACTCGTCGACATCTTGCCATCAATCTAAATTACAGTTAAAAGCTTTCTTAATAAATTGCGCATCACTATTATTTACATCGTGACTACAGGCCAGTCATACTTCGTCTATTAACACCCTGTGGAGTGTTCTTTTATTGCATTTTAAATAGGTATGTCAATTTAGAATTTTTTATTGCGCTTTGTTAAACATGAAATTAAATTATTTTGAATTTATGAATCTAAAGTAATATCAAACTTTTCTGAAAAACGATTACACGTGGTTAAAATTATGAGTTTATTTTCAAAACATTCTAAATAAATGAAAGAGGAGACATTTTGTTATTTAAATATGACGTCCTTAAAAACGTAGTTGTTAAGGATGGTTTACACGTTGCTGTTGGCGTGACAGTCGGTGTTCGCCACATACTTTGATTACTATACGAGGCAAGAGAGAGGTCCGACACGCCCAACATAGGGCGCGGCCATTTTGAACCCTGTGACACAGTTTACAGCTAAAGAATCAGATCGCTCATCCTCCGTCGGCACTTTTGATCTCAATGTTTCAGTTTATACACTGTGCAACTCAGATAATACAATATATGAGAACCGCCTATAATAAAACAGCAGTCTTCTGCGTATCCTGAATTTGTATCCCTGGAGTGGATGATATTTTGGAACATTCAACTGGTCCGAGTGAGCTAACTGATTCTTTAGCAATAAACTGTGACTCCAAAAATAATATTCACTGACACTGACAGCAGCAAGCAAAATATCAGGTTCATTTTAATCATCCGCTTCTGCTTCCGGAATTGTCGGTTTAGTCGTTTTAACCTGTCAGATTAAAACAAGAAAACTGACAATTCCGAAGCAGAAGCGGAATATTAAAACGCACCTATTAAAAATATTGCGCCAAGATGTAGGCCACCCGTAATAAGGGATCAAAATGGCGGAGTTTTCTATCTCCTTTTAAAAGGCACTCAGAAAGCTGCGCAGTGCGACCATTCTCCGTATAGTAAAAGAAAATCAAAGTATGTGCTATTTTGACTATACTATAATAACCTGTCAAATGATCTTGAAGTTAGATACATGTTATTGTTAAAACACGAAACAATAATGCTCAAAGAGTACTTCAGTTTCTAACGACCTCTGGTGGATTTTATTGAAACTACGTACTTTTTGGTGCCATATCTTTTGTTATATAGGATTTAAGGTTAGTTAAAGCACCTATAGAAATGTCATTCATCGTGTTCGTTACCTTTCTTCAAAAAGAAGTTCACATACTCTGAAATTATTATGGAAATCTTCCCACCTTTCTGTAAAACTATTAGAATAATCCAGCTATAAATACTTTCTGAAATAAATGGATTGTCCGATACAGTGTTGCGATATAGATTCCTCTAAGTTTTAAACAACACAATATTACTTTTAGGGGTTCTGTCTCAATCTGAGAGATTTCTAACATATTCTGAGACACTGTGTATAAAAAATAATTGTTCATAATGGCCATTAAAGAGTTTATTCAAATTTTGCGAATAAAAACAAAAAATCTTGTGATTAAAATATAAAAAATAGAACATTTCGATGTGGGTTTTGAAATTCGAAATAAAAAATGAAAATTAACTGCCAATTATTTGACGTTCAAAAAAAACAAAGACATCAATTTTGTCAAAATATTATGGCCTTCAAACTGAAATTAACATAATATTTGTAGATTTGGAATGATTTTAGTATTGAACCTACTATATTTTGTTTGCCGTGATTTAAAGTTAATTTCGTTTATCCACTCTCTATAAAATGAGTGGAGAATATTATGGTAGGGAGAATCACACCAAATTCTATAATGGTAAGCATTTTTTATGTTTAACTTAGATCTAACATCCATATTTAATTTTGAAATATTAAGAAATGTTTAGAATATTATATTTATATAGGGATGTATTATTTTTCACAAATTTGACAATTCACAAAATGTAAATATTTAGAATAAAATTAAATCTTGTAAGATAGGAGTGCCAGTTACAAAAGTTCTATCAAAATATATCTAATATCTTGCTTTTTAATGGCTAAGATCTACATTTTATTTGATTGCTTTTGACATTAGTTACGAGAAGAAAATGTTTGTTAATTAATTTAAGATCTTTATTGAAGCATATCTACAACAGAACTGTCTTGCAATCTTTTCATTTTCTGATAATTTTTTTTAAATATTCATGATTGACGTAGAAAGGTTTTTCAGAAGTTTATGATATTGAATACTCATTTTAAAACTTGGCATGAGTACATCGTTTAAGAATCGTTAGAAAAACATTAGGATCTTCTAAAATTGAAAATATTCTTACACAGTCACTTTCCCGCACCTGCCAGTAAAAGTCAAATACGTGGCAATAATGTTATTTTTTAAAATGCACAGCTACACTCAGAAAAGAAATTAGTTTCATAATTATTCTTCTTGTTTATTAAGGCGCCTTTATCTAAAATCCTAATCAAGAAATGTTAACAAAAAAAAAATATTGACAGAAACCCTTTTCTCATGTACTTATAGTTTAACTAGTGCTCTATCTATAGTCCATTCATTTAGTTTGTTTGTCTTTTTTCATAAATTCAAAATTAGATTATGATGATAAAGTCCATCACTTTCTAACATGTTTCAAAAACATGACAAATACTATAAGAGTGAGTCCTAGATTGATATTAAGAATATGAGCTTAGAGCATATAAGACTAGAGGTGTTACGCAAATTATTGGTTATGTACTGAGAGGAACAACCCCTGCGATGTTAGGTACCCGACGCTCTATGATTTGTGAATTTAAATAACGCGAGTACTTGTGAAAAATAAAATTTCATTTGGCGTCTTGTTTTCGTGTTTAAAAATATTGTTTTTGTGGCTATTTAAAAAAATTTGGAGATACCTTTTTGTTTCATTTAAATATTTTCTTTTCAGATTATGTAAGAACACCTTTACAACCTACCAATGAAAAATATGGCCAAGATCATCGTTTAAATGGTAAGCATTCAATTGATATAAAATTACTTGTATATTTTTTATTATGTAAATGTGTTTATCTCATATTTAAGACTTGTATACCTGCTCAGCCTTGGAACGAACTGAGGACTAGATCTTTAGCTTTACTTGACATAAGCCTACCGATTTAGAGTCCTATTTTCGTTTTTAATATAACTATTCTACATTAAAAGTAACATTTGTGAAGGTATTAGAAAGTTTTTATTTCTAAAAAATAAATATAAATAACGTTTAATAACGTTTTATACTGTTTAATAACGTTTAGTAATATTTAATAAGGTTTAATACTGTTTAATACTGTTTAATACAGTTTAATAACGTTTAATACCGTTTAATAACGTTTAATATTGTTTGGGGGTAGGTTGACTCAGTGGTTAGAGTCATGACTTCAGATCACAGGGACTCAGATTCAAGTTCCACCTGTAGCAGGTTTTTTAATTTAATTTAATACATTAAATATTAATTCTAATGTAGAAGTAGGATTCCCCACTTGACCATTCACTGTTGGGTTTTAATTAACACTGCTGTTCCAAAAGTGGCGCCGGAAAATGGTGACAAAGTCTAAATCGAACACGATGTTAATGATCTTAGTTGCTTAGTTTTATAACGTTTTATAACGTTTAACAACGTTTAATAACGTTTAACAACGTTTAACAACGTTTAACAACGTTTAACAACGTTTAACAACGTTTAACAACGTTTAACAACGTTTAACAACGTTTAACAACGTTTGACAACGTTTGACAAGGTTTAACAAAGTTTAAAAATGTTTTAACAACGTTTAATAACTTTTAATAATGTTTGATAAAGTTTATTCAACATTCAATAACGTTTAATACTTCAAATGGTAGAAAAATTATAACTATTTTATTAACCGACTTCAAAAAAGGAGGAGGTTCTCAATTCGTCGTAATTTTGTTTATGTATGTTCTCCGATAATTTTTTAACATGGTGTCCCATTTCAATAATTCTTTTTTTGTTATAAAGGGGGTAACTTAGGGGTGGTCCTATATTAATTTTGGTCAAAATCTAATAATTGGGTCCATTAGAAAATCCTCAAACTCTTCATTTTTTATGTATGTTTAGCAATAATTATTTACCACCTTGTCCAATTTTTATAATTCTCTTTTTGTTAGTAAGGGGGTACCATATAAATTTGGTTAAGATGTGGTGACGGCATATGCACGATTTTCAAGTCGATTTTATAATAATACTTGTGTGATTAAATTTTATCAATGCTTCTAAATAAAACGTCATTAATAATAGTGAACAAAATATATTAAGTAGAAATATAAAATAATCAATTTTTTATTTCATTATCGTTATCCATTGGATCAGATGAGGGCGGTATTTTTTTTAGCATTGTATTTATACGTTCGCAAAAACTATTAAAAGAATATGATTTCTCGAAAGTATCCTTAGCCATATCTCCGAGAAAAACTTGCAGATGTGGACTCGTCATTAATTTCTTCATGGCTACAGCAAACATTTTGGGCTCCGGGTCAATGATTACACCTGATAATCTGTGAACTAAAATTTTAGAAGCAATACCTTTATTTGTAGCTACAATGGGTTTTCCTAAGGACATAGCTTTGAGGATGAAATCTGAATAGACATCATTTTTGGCCGGATGAATCATTATGGCTGATTCCATTATCAATGTTTTCTCATGAACGGTTGGTAGCTGCCTCAAGAAAGTAACTTGGGATGCACAAAATCTTTGTTTTGCGATTGCCATGAGTTCGTTGTAGTGAAATTTTTCATCTAGTGTTCTACAATTTCCAGCTATTACTAACTGAAATCGTTTTGTCGCGATTTTATCATCTATCAAATCTAATAGAAGCTCGAATGCATCTAGAGCTAATTTGAAGTTGGTCGATCTTCTGAATTTCCCTACAGTAAGAAATAGAACGTTATTATCCATTAAATCTGGTATAATTCTTTGAATATTAATCCCTGGTTCATTCCATAAGCCTAGGTCTATTGATGGATACAACACTGTAGGCTTTCTAATAAGAGATGGATGAGACTTCATTAAAATATCTGCAAATCCTACAGTTTCTACTATTACTTCATCTGCTAGTTTAATCCATTTAGCTGTTAATAGAGATGGATGTATCTTGGTATGCTCGTAACAAGCATCGGTGTTTCTTAAAAACATAAAATTTTCGACGTAGTAGAGCTTGTAATTGGTAAAACACTTTAGAATGTACAACGCCCAGAGGCTGACATCGAGTATTACAAGTTCAGGTTTTGGATCAGGAGGAAAAAATAACAATCGAAGTGCCATACATATTGCTTTTAATGTAGAAAAAGTGTCTCTGAAGAATCCCAACAGGCTTCTAGGTATCCACCAACCGCAGTGTTCAATAGCAACCTTATCTAAAAACTATATAGGTATATCTTAGTAATGTTTATTACAAATTAATAATATTAAATATAAATACCCTTATATCAGTGATGCAATCGTGTCTCTCATATTGCGACGTTAATATTCTGACTTTGTGTCCGAGTTTTTGATAAGCAAGAGCAATGTTAATAATATATCGGTCGATTTTTCTTCTACCGAGTTTTTCGTGAAAAATTATTACTTGAGATTCTTCATATTGCAAGTTTTCGGCCTCTCTGGGTTCGTTGTTCATTTTAAAATTTTTGAATTGTAGGTCTGACAGTTGTACATATTTTTGATTGTCACAATCCTTTCATTTTGAATTTAGCAATTGCGCAAAAAAGGATTGCTCATTCGCATAAGCAACCTACTCTAGATTTTTTCGATGACGTTAGTGTGTGTGTACGTCATTATTTATAAAGGATTCTTCTTCGGCATTTTTTTGGCCTCTTGTGTGGATTAAACCATTTTTCTTTGACAAAAACTTGATATTAGGCATTCCAAACAAATGAATTGCCAGTGGGAAGGTTTGGTGTATCTAAGGATTGCGACATACGATGTATTCTATCTAATACGTAAAATCATAATTAAAGCATTACAGTTAAATATTTTAGGTCAAACACAATAAAAATATTATTTAAAAAAATCGCTTTTACTCTTTTTCATAAATTGACAGACTTGGCGACTACTACGTCAAATAAAAATAACGTCCAAGATACAAGACTATGTCGCTACCCCCTTAGATATACGAGACCTTCCCACTGGCAGGTATTGTTTGACAGGTCGTTGGAATGCCTAATTCATACATTCTGTCAGAAAAGTCATACATGTTGTGTCAGTCATGACGTAAGACACATATATGAATTAGAGGCACATACTTTGATTACTATTCGCTCCGTGCGCGACAGCAGCGCCAATTTGTTTTGGTATTAAAGGAGTATTTCTGCCTTTACTGACAAATACAATTTTTAATAGAATTCGTAAATAAAAAGTATATACGTTAGTTTTAATAAAAGTATATGGATTTATAAAACAATTAAAACATTAATTTATTATTACTATATATTTTTCACGCTTAAATTGAAGAAAATTATGTATAATCATTAAAAATCAATAATAAAATATAGGCAGGCAACAGTATTTACTGGAAAATGTATGAGAAGTTGCCTAAGTCTAATAAGTTGTCATTGAAGAAACCATTTATAATAGCGTGAAGTTAAAATGTATAAAAAGGATCGCTACTTATATTTTCATTTTTGTTCTAAAGAAAACATAGAATGAATGATTAAAACTGGTTTCCGATCAGTAAGTCACAAAATTGCATACCAGCCAAATATTATAATCAACGGCAGAAATATTGAAATCGAGTCCTTGCTGAATGAACATTTAAGAATAAAGGGATATTAAAGAACATCGTAAAATGATAATTTATTGGTTATTTAAAAACTTTCTAGTTTCTGATGTCTACTATTTCCAGCATTACTGTTATTATCACAAAAATAAAGGTAATTTTTTCTTCTTATTGTACACCTATCCATTTATTTCTTTGATTTAATTTCCACTTTGTTAGTGAAATTTGTTATATAAGTTTCACTGTTTTTTTTTTGCTAGTATTTGTACAATTTTCAACACAGCAACTCCGGTTGCTTATTGTTTGTTTTTATCTACTTTTTTGAAAAAAAGTAAAATGTATACGTGTATTTGATATGCCAAAATTACAAAATATCCCCCTAAAATGCACGAATTACCCGCAGCTAGCGCTAGTATCGCTTTTGCTTCCCTTTCCATGACTTCGCACGGAGCGAATACGGTGCAAGAGAGAGGTCCGACACGCTCAACATAGGGCACGGCCATTTTGATGCCTTTACCACAGTTTATAGCTAAATAATCAGTTCGCTCACTCTGCGTCGGCACTTTTGATCTCAATGTTCCAGTTTATACATTGCGCAACTCGGATAATAGAGAGTTATTGCAAGTTCACTTAAGGTCAGTCACTATTAGTGCTGCTCTTATTTTGACATCTGAGCATGCGCAGATCACTAACTTTAATAAAGATTGTGCCTGTCCTTAATATTTCTATAAAGCCAGCCACTAATAGTGACATCGTAATTGGAGTCAAATAAATTCTATAATAGTACCTAATATTAAAGAGGTAGAAATTATAATTTTAGAAGGTTTAAATGACGAGCGCATCCAAAAGCTATAAAGTCGCCACTACCTGCTGCCCTTAAACATCCACAATTAAGGACAAGCACAATCCTTAATAAAGTCAGTTTTAGAACATAAACATCTGCGCATGCTTAGATGTCAAAATAAGAGCGGCACTAATAGTGACTGACCCTAAGTGAACTTGCAATAACTCTCTTATTATGGACAGGCACAATCTTTATTAAAGTTAGTGATCTACGCATGCTCAGATGTCAAAATAAGAGCAGCACTAATAGTGACTGACCTTAAGTGAACTTGCAATAACTCTCTAATACAATATATGACAACCGCCTATAATAAAATAGCAGTCTTCTGCGCATCCTGAATTTGTATCCCTGGAGTGGATGTTATTTTGGAACTTTCAACTGGTCCGAGTGAGCTAACTGATTCTTTAGCAATAAACTGTGACTCGAAAAATAATATTCACTGACACTGACAGCAGCAAGCAAAATATTAAAAATATTACGCCAAGATGTAAGCAACACGTAATAAGGCATCAAAATGGCGGAGTTTTCTATCTCCTTTTAAAAGGCACTCCGAAAGCTGCGCAGTGCGACCATTCTCCGTATAGTAAGAGAAAATCAGAGTATGTGATTAGAGGAGATAGAAAATGTCATTTTCATCAGGCACGTAGATTTGAAGGCGGTCTTTTAAAAAGAAGAGACTCACGCGCTTGCGAATTGATTGCGTATTGAAGTCTACAGAATCGGACTGGCACATTTAAACACAATTCAAAAATATTAAGGATTTAATTATACAATAAAATTAATAATCATACAAATTTGTAGTAAAATTTTCTTATTTTTTTATGAATTTTAAGAAATTTCTAAAAATAAAAAACAATTTGCAAATATATTTTTTATTTATTAATGACTTGTTTGACAATCTAAAGTAACAGCTCTTTTTTCTTATTTGTTCACATTGAAGACAAACGTCCATAGACTGCAGTGAAATAATTTTAACATTTGTTTTTATAGATGATAATCTTTCACTAACCTCTTCAACTGGATCTACGTATCACAACAAGAGTTTGCAAAAACGACAAAATCAGCCCGTTACGGGAACCACTAATAATGGAGCTGCAGTTCAAACTATAAATAACATTCTGAATGGTATAACAAATTCTGTCAATCGTCTATCCGAGTTACACGTTCAATTATCTGATAGCCCAAGGAATCGAGTGGCTTCTGCGAATTTGTCACCAAGTACGTAAAAAATAAAAACCGTTATTTTGATTTAATTCGTTATTTTCTTTTATTTAGATCGATATTATAATGACGTAGTATCAAATCCATCTCTTACCGGCCAGCAAATACCTTTTATTGAACAGCGGAAACAAATAATGCCAATGCCGGACCAACCAAACTTGCATGTAACCACTAGCAGCACCAGGAGTATAGCTGGCAAAACCAAAAGTTTTAAAAGGAAAATTAAAGACCCAAAAACAGTAAAGAGACAAAGTTCATTACTAACTGTTAAGAAAAATATAAAAGTTGATAAGAAGATGAAGATATCCGCCAAACCTATAGAAGATCATGTATCTTCTCGTCCGTTGATGTCATTCGATAACAAATCTAGTAAACATGGTAAATTTTCAAAGTATAATAATTTAAAAAGGTTTTGATGCTGTTTATTTGTATTTTCAGCTAAATTGGTTGAAATATTTCACAACAAAGAAGCAAAAAGTAGCGATTCCGACGAAGGTAATTCCCACAAGAAGAACCATCACATGACTTGCGACGGAGACCATTTAGACGTACCCAATCCTGACGTTCCATTACTGCAGCTTGAAAATTGCGAAGATGCGAATGATATGAACATGCAGAGTAAGAGATTGGCTCAACGGATGATAACTGGAGACTACTATGATCCACCAGAAGCGCCTAGATTACACATTAATTACTGTCAAAAGAGCTACCAGTTACCGACGATAGCTTCTAGGATGAAACAGGTAACTAAAATTGATTTCTATTATTCTAGGTTTAATTCATTTATATATGTTTTAATGAGTTGATGACATTCTTATGAAAAGTATAATTAAAACATTAGCACTGTTAATATTTTTATTAAACACTTTATACATTCTTTCATCCTGTACAAGTTTCGGAAAATATTCTTCAGTTGTATCATGTTCTATGACGATATTTTCTTCTTAACATTGATTGATGTATTGAGAAAGCTATGATTGAGTCACGTTATATCAAAAGGTAATGAATGTAAAAAATTGGAGGGTTTGGCGAAAGCTATTTGTAGATGGCAGCACAACTGCAAACAACCTATTAAATTGGACAGTTTACATTTATCATCGTGAAATCACAACGAATATTCTCCCCGTGAATGGCCTTGAATGTCTCAGGCTTACCGGTGATATTTTATTTCTAATTTCTTCTTATTTGCACTAAATATACTACAATAAGTATTGTACAATGCAACATTGCTTTAATTAAATTTTTGCTTCATTATAGTTCTTAAAAAGTACCTAATTAGTGTAGTATAATTGTACAGTGTATTGAGAACTACACATACAAATGTCAAAATTTTATAACAATATGGCTAAAGTTGGTGTTAATTATAGCACGTGATGTCTTCTCAATCCTTTACCTGGTAAATTCTGTAGCTTGACTTTATCTCGCATTAAATTTCTTGTCTTGACTACAAATAGTGTTAAATATTTTTGTGTATAGATTTTAATAGCATGGGCTTTTGTTTATATTAATATTTAACTTATTATGTTATTGATAAATGAATAAAGGATCATGTCAAAGTTTGAAAAGTAACTTCTTTTAATGGAAACTCAAATATTTTTTACTCTTTGTTTCTGGAATATAGGTTAACTGTCGTTAACAATAATTTATATTACTAAAAACAAGGCAAATGGTTTTAAAGATTCTACGACCAAAAAATAGAAGTTTCTAATATGTCTGAATATTATTTATCCAGAAACTAGAAAGGTTTTATTTAGAAGATGATAAAATTACTATATTAATATTATTATTAACGATATTTATTTGTAGAGCATGGTTAGTACACTCATAGGAGGTAATAATATAATGAATGGCGGCACACCTATGATTCGTACTAAAAAGGTAATAAAACTTTTTAATTTTAAGACATTTTATATTATTTTATTTTTACAATATTCTGAGCTTAAGGTAAAACTTTTTAGCAACATAAGTTCAATAATAGAAATAATTGTATACATAATTATTTGTATATTTAATTTAAATTAGTTGTACAAGGTGTTTCAAAATTGTCCAGCAATAATTCTAGGGAGAAACATCCAAAAATACGTACAGCTTAATGAACCCATATCTTAAATTATTATTAACATTGTTGTACAATTTTTGTAATAGGCGGGCTAATACTGTCGCACAACCGCCTAAGACCGACCTTGTGCGTTGTCGACCTTCTCTTGTTCCGTAATTTTGGTAGGTGCCCACCCGACGTTGACAATCGTTGTTCTTCTAAGTTCCTCTTCGAAGATTACACCGTGACAGGCGTTCTTTTTTCTACAGTCCCTTGCAACCGCGTTATTCTTATAGTTCCATATCTGTTAGATACAACTGTTCCTTCCCGTACAGCTGTCGGCGCGGTTTTCGCATTTGTAGTGTTTCTAGGACATTTGCGCGTATATTTCCTATTTCATCGCAGTTCCAGCACCTGATAGTCTTCGACTGCTTCTCAATAAGGCTTTTTATCATGTAGAACAATTGGTCTAATTTCCCTGTTCTTCTTCTTGTACAGTCCTTACTTTACTGTATTCACCAGAAGCCAGCGTAGCCTCTTCGTATTCAAGGCCTCGACCAATGTTTGATGACGGACTAAACGCTATGCTTTTTGCATTTCATGGTATCTAAGTCCATCAACAAATGATTGAACAGCCAAACTTTCAATCATGTATTCCGGAGCTGATGAGTAAGCAAATCGCATCATCTTTGCAATACATAATTCGTATTCTTGAAGTTTCTCGTTACGTTTCTGTTTGCGATTCTCTAACTGTAATCGGTACACCTGCTGTATTTGTAGCCATATCGCATGTTTAATCTCTTTTTAAATTGTCCAAAGTCATCCGTCTTTTCCACAGGTATACTCTGAAGGACATCTTAATCGTCTTCGAAGGCCGATGGTCAAATTTACTGCCTTCTTTCTTTCAAACCTTTCGTTTGATATCGCAGCTATTTAGAACTACTTAAGGTAGTTGGTCCATGACATTTTCTCGTTGGGGACTTATACTCGGGCCGAGTTTACAGTTCCTTCCAATTCCACCTTTGACTTCATCTCATGGCAGTTTATTTTTCCATCCTTGCTCTGATATGTATGCTCCAGTTCTTCTATTTTCTCCTCAACGGAAGTCATATTATTTTCCACATCAGCAGAAATTTAATCTTTCGAAAGACGCCTTTTTTTCTAAAGAAGAAATATTAGACATTTTGTTTTTTAAGTCGGAAGAAATTTCATATTTTATAGGAAGAAACTTTATTGTCTAAAGAAGAAATATGGGAAGAAATTTTAGTTTCTGATAAAGAAATGTTAGAAGAAATATCAGTTTTCATAGAGGTCATATCAGAAAACATTTCACTTTTTAACAAAGTTCTCTTACTTTCCATATCGGAAGAAATTGAAGATACTATAGCAGAGGATGTATCATCCGAAAATAGGCACGTCTCCGAGTCCTAATCTTCACTTTCTATTGCTTCTTTAAGCCGTTCTGTCAGCTACGATTTTTTCCTGTCGTTTCCAGTTCACGTCCTTCTAACTCTCGAAGTAACTCATCCTCTTTTAAATCACACATTTTTTTAGTCACTTTTGTCCACTATTTATTTACTTAAACTGAAATGTATTAGCTATTCCAATCATTTACGGATATGGGTTCATTACGCTCAAACAAACTTTTGTACCATAAAGAAATTTTATTTTTTTAACTGCTTCTCTTCTGTAACAATGTATCTCTCCAGGGCTGACTAGAGGGGGGGGGCAGCCGGGACTAACTTCCGGGGCCCGGGCTCAAATGGGGGCCCGGCAGCGGTGGTGAGAATTTTTTTTCAGAAGTTTGACACAAGAGGGGGAAGTTCTTGGTTGAAGGATGAGAGATTTTTGTTTGAAGATTTTTTATTTTTTATAAAATTGTCGGGGGCCCGATCTGGAGAATTTTCCTGGGGCCTGGTCTGACTCTCGGCGACCCTGGTGTTAACATATTGAAAGATGAGAATCCCACTGCAGGGATCAATATCGGGACATACATTTAATTATTACACATAGTATACTTTAATAATAAATTCAGCAATAAGAAAATAAGTCACAAATCTACACGTTAGCCCTAGAACTAAAAGGTGGGATACCTTAAAGCTGGGTGCGTAAAACCAGGGCAAACTAATGTTAGTCTGGTGCTAAACAAATAATAATTTATTTATCTCTTTGATTTTATACGGCTGACTTTTTAAGTTATAATAATTATTTAATAACCTTTGTCTAATGTATTGACAAAACTCCAGCAAATTATTATTTTTGAGAAACTATTAAAAATGTATAAAATTTAATAGGCTATTGTAGAAAAACTGATTTTAATCTAGTTCCTTTAATTCAAATCGTACTTATTTTTGGATGTTCTATATCCCCTAAGAAATATTGTTGGACAATTTTTCAAATCACCTTGTATAAGCCCAAACTTTATTGGGTATTAACTTTTTTTTTTGTGAAATTTTATTGCAAAGTAAGTGTTTTTTCTTTAATTGTAAATTCATACAAAACTACCTACAAAGTGATGCTTTTTGGATTTTATTACAAATCATTAGTTATATAAAAAAGAATAAAAAAATTGCTTAGTAAATTATACGTATCTATGTGTAGATAAATTACTTTGAAGGTCATAATTTTTTCTTCTACTATCATATCTGGTGGTTTTAATTTAAAATTAATAGTTATACTACCAAATAGTTTATTTAAGTATAATGATTAGGATGTTTTTGATTTGAAAACCATTATGCAGTTATCCAAATTATAGCCATTGCTGATTTGAAAATAAATGAATTGATTTGGAGAAAAATTAAGAAAATTAGTACTGTAAATGACGATACTATAGATACTAGTGGTACTTTGAATGCTACTCTAATAATATACATTCTATTGTTGAAGTAATTCTATATTTTTGTTCCTATATTTTTTACTAGCTTGGATTTGAGTTTGCTCTAATTTACTTTCATACCTAGTATACATTGTATAACATTTTAGGCAATTCCCTTTTGCCCAGCCATTACTGCAAGTCCCAGTCATAATATTGGTATTAATATTCAACAAGTTATGAATATATTGAGGAACAGGCAACCGATAAACGGCATTTCTCCTACTCTGGCTCATAACATTGGATTAGCAGCGGATAGACTCAACACCAGACCGTTGTCTACATTAGTGTCTTCAATCAATTCCAAAACATGGTAATTTTAAGATATTATCTTTATATTAACACTATTGAGCAATAACAAAAATTATAACACCTTCTAAGATATCTTTGCTAACGGTTTTCCTGGTTATTGGACTTTCTTCTGCAATTAAAACATCTTCCTTGATGTTTGTGATTTTGGTCTTCATCACTATTGTATCTTGTAAACTTGATGGCGTCCCATGCACCCATTTCAAAAACCCATTGCCAATGTTTGTTATATGCTAGATATTATATTTATTTGTAATACAATATATTAAAATTTTGTAGCAGTTATGTAAGATCTCAGCAGTGTCCTTTGTCGAAGTGCAATTTGAACTATCAGCAATTACAAGATTTAGCTAAAGGTATTCCAGAAGAAACGCAAGAAGAAATGGACGTTGAAGATTCACCAGAAGTTAAGACCATCGTCATCACAGGACCAACCGGGGAAATGGAAATAAAAAATAAGAACGTAACTTCTTGGGCAGCAGATGCAAACAAATTTACCGAATGTACTTGTGTTCCTCAAACTGGCACTGATATACATTACATTGCTAACAAAATTAAGAAAGCTGCATCTGGAAAAATGATTACGTCTCAGATCAATCTAGCGCAGGTAATGTTTATACATATTAAAAATATAGATTAAGTCAATAATAAAATGTTTTATTTAGAAACAGTTACCACCAACTTTGAATAGATGGAATCTTAATCCAAAGCTTCTCAAACGACCTCACACCACAAAGAATAAATCCAAAGAAGTGCCAAAACCCGTACCACAATTAGACAAAACTGTTTCTGATTATCCATTAAATGGAAAAGAGAAAAACTTGAAAGAAGTCCTGACACATCTTCACGATGAATTTGAACAACTTAACGTGTAAGTAGTCAAACAGTTTTTAACTTTTACCTTCATTATACTGCAACTAACTTCATACTAAATTAGGTTCGAGACTTATAGTATGCATTCACGTTTTTGCCGCAGTTAAGCAGTGATGTCTCCGGTCACGTCTTGGATAGGTGATCGCTAACTATCAACGACGTCAAACGACAGATGAATAAGGCATACAAATGGTGATTGTGTCCCCTTTCCCCCCGCTTTCTATCTATCTCTTTCTTTCTTTCTCTCTCTTTCTCACACACTCTCTCTCTCTCTCATGCTTCTCTCTCGCCCCTGGTACAAATGCCTGTGTTGGATTGAGTCTAGAAGCACTATACCTAAGTGTTTTATTTCAATTTCAGAAAATATGAAGAACTGTCCAAAACTGCCCCCGAGGAAGAGCCCTCAAAAGAAATGGTAGTTTTAGAAGAGGAACTGAACAAAAAGGAAGAAGAAATAACCATGGTTATGACACTTTGTAAGGAAGTCATGGCACTAAAACAACAAGTTAAATCTTTGAAAAAGATTTCTAGTCAATGTAGTGTTTCTCAAGAATCGAGGGGTACTCCGACTTCTGCGACATTTACAGATTACAGTAATCCTCAAGCTGCATTCCATTTAACCAAGCTACTTAAACAGATTCAAACGTATCATGTACGGTATAAGAATGATACAGATGTTTAAAAATTGACAAGTACCAGTCTAAGTGTATTTTTGAACGTTACACTTTTAGACGTTAATAATAAAATGTATTATTGATCGTGTAAAAAAATTTTCATAGTACAGTTTACTGTTTTTTGAATATTATACTATTCATATCAGCAAAATTTTCTTATTATTATTCACTGATATAAAAAATACTAACTATAGATACAGATTCGGCCAGGCAAATCAGTAATAGGGCTTTGCTTCTCTACTCCTCCATTCCCGTGTTCTTTGACGTCTCCAACTTTCATCCAACTTTAATCCTTTGTCGGATTTATAGTTTACTAAAAGTTGAACCCAACACAAATTATAAATACGGGCCCTAAGACTCGCTTACCAAGTGGGCTGTCTCCTTTCGGTGCTAGCTGCAAATATTTTCATACGGATAATGAAATTCCAGCAACTTTTAAAAAACGATTTATTGTACAAAACCTTTTTAAATTTTACATATGTACACTACACTTTTATTTAAAAATACCTAGAGAATTATGCCAATCATGTTACTAGTGAAACCCGTCTGACTTCTAGCGAAGTACAAACTGATCTGATGTTTTGTGCCGTTCAAAGAAAGATACATGTCTACGTGCCTTAAGAGGTTTGGCGCTGATGCAACTCGGCGAACGCGATTATTGTCACGTAGACGTTTATATACAGAAACCTACAATGAACACCTGATTACCGAGCACAGGACCGTCTCTCGATATGTTTCAAAAATATATTTGTTTTAAAACATTTCCATTACCGATTTTACTGAAGAACTGCATTATTTTCTGAATTCTGATGAACTGTAAGCAACAAATTTTAATTTATACATATTGTTTTTAGTCACTGGCTGGACATGAAATAAACTTTAAATTATATGAACTGAATCAAAGGATTTTGGATTTTCATTTCATATTAAGAATATCATACAGCCGTTCTTAGCTAGGAAATCATTATTCGAACAGATCTGTGCAAATGTCGGTGATATTTGCTCCGACAATTAAAATTAAAGCTATTGTTCAAAAATAATAACTGCAATAAGCAATAAACGAAACACATGTACTTGTATCGATGAGAGTAATGACTCTACGGTTTCCAGTCCTATAATTTGGAACTAATACATAGTCATCAAGTATTGACCCTACACATGTCCTACAAATATTTGCATAAATAAGTATAGGGTGACGTTAAAAATAAGAACTTTCGGAATACTATATATCACTTGAAATGGAATTTTAATGACAGTTTTAAAGTTTAAAAAATGAGTTGTGCTGTAATATAACGACGCGGATATTGTCGAAGCATTAATGGTATTTTAATGTTACAAAAAAATAAAAATATAAAAACAAATATTAGTTAAAGATATAGAATACATTTCTGAGTAACTTACAATAACTAGTTTTTTATTATTTCGTTTTTCCATCTTTTTATAACAAATAAACACGTATAAAAGCGTTGGTAGCCAAATTTTCATTTGGTCCTTTTTTAATTTTATTTTTTTCGAAGAACAATATGCAAGTTAGGTAAAGAAAATTGGGGCAAATATGGGCCAATCTAATGCAATTATAGAGTGATATTGATGTCTATAAAGCTAGCATGGCAAAGTCATAAGCCCGCAGAGCTACTTATACCGCAGTTATGTATAAAAGATAAAAAGATTATTGGGCAAATACCGCAAAAAAATGAAAAAAAGCCTAAAGGCAAACCGTAGACACGTGTTTCTGACATTGGTCTTCGTCAGTACGGTACAGCCAAGTTCAAAAGAGATTGTAACTATCGATGAAATCAGATCAACAGGAGATCATTCAAGGAACCAACCACACATTTGTGGACTCGGCTAACATTCCCAGTATTTACTAGGAAAATATTAGCGTCGCCATGGAGGCAGTTACAGCCGTCATGATAATTTTTTCATAATTTCGAGCTTTAATAATTGTTTGAAAATTCCTATGTCGCAATCCATTTGCAAAAGTGTTGAGAGCAATTTTTTCATTTACTTCATTTAAAATCTGAAAATTATTTTCATTATCGTTGGCTTGGGTTAAGTCGATTAACAATTCTTCTAACGTTTTCCCAAACTGTTCGATAGTTTTTGAACCTTTGGCGCATTGTCATTGTCAATTGGAAAAGGTAGATTTAAAAATGTATTTTACCAGACTCCAAAAAAAGGAGGTTTCCAATTCGTCGGAATATTTTTTTATGTATGTTCAGCGATAATTAGAATAAACAGATACATACACGCTTGCTTATATTTCTAGTTATCTCCGTAGAGGTTTCATCTTATTTTAATTTTATTTCTCTTAGTGCAGGGCCAACTTTAGCTTGTCAGCTCAACGTTTACTACGAAAATTCGCCAGTGTTTTATTGTAGCCAGTTCCCTATATCATATATACCTAAATCCCAATATACCATACCAATTTTCACGGCACATCAAGCCAACGGTGAAGTTCTATATCACAGCAACTAAGACACCTTTCAAGGAAATGATGATTAGTCCTTTGATCCTGCATTGACGAACCCTAAGGGTTCTGAGTAGTCAAGGATTATTACTGATCCTAAATTTTTTCAAATAAAGTTTTTATTAGTTTCAAATAACACTCCTAGTCCTAGAAACTATTCCTCTTTTCGATACTTGATTCCTATTTGGTCCAATTTCGAGTTTTATATTAGTTTAAAATGTACTCCGCAAAGCCTTTGTGGGGACCCCACGAAAAAAATAATAGTTATAATAAAAAAAAGAGTAGTACTCTTGTTACAAGAAAGACTTTTTTTTTAGAAGTCACTGGGAGGAAGGAAGAATATATGATTTTGCTTGAGGACCTTTCAAAAAAGTTCTGTCGTCAAAAAAGTGGAAAACCAGACTCTAGAGCTCAAAAATCTAGAGCTAGACATTCATCTTAGATTTGTTACTTTTTCTACAATATGTTTGTTTTCCACTGGAAATAGGTGACTAAGCGTTAACAAAATTTTGTATTTCCTTTTTCGTCTTAGTCACAGAGGATTTTTTAAACATAAATTTATTCTAACAGAATATGCAAAAGAGAGATTTATAAAAGTGAGATCACAAGTGAAGTCATTTAGGGTGTTAGCGTAAAATTAACCAATTAACTATTAATCATGCAAAAACAGTTTTCACGTTGGTTAAATCCATTGACATTGGCATTGTTCTTACATGAAATGCTAAAGGCGTAAGCTCGCGTGTTGACAAGTTGGTAATTCAATCATTACCTATGTATTTAAATGTTTTTTTGAAATTAATACCGCCCGGAGTCAAAATAAGTCACGTAATTAAATTTATCTATTAAAAGACTTATATTTAGCTCACCAATTATAACTGATCTCACAAAGTCTGATTCATATCTTAAATATATATCGTCAGTAAGATAACGTATAATTTATTAATATTAAAAATGGACGCACAATCAAATTACCAATTAAAAATTTAAAACTAGAAAGAGGTACATTTTGCACGACCAAAAATTGAAGAGATAAAATCAAATGGGTCGCTAAAAGCCACCATTATAACGAACATAAAATTAAAATATATCTGATAAGTAGAATATGTGATGTAAATGGAAATTTGGAGTGAGGGTAGCCATATGTGAGTAGTAGGGATTAAGTATAAGGGGTTAAAGAAAAGGTCCTTTATTTTTCACAAGTCAATTTTAATTGGCGACCGGTTTCGAAGCTATTACTTCATCATCAGGCACACCTTGACTATTTCCATAAAGGAAGTGCTACATAAAGTTTAACAATTGTAGTTAACCGTGCCAAACTTACAGAAGAATAAGAGAACGATCCCGTTTTGAAGAAGATGCGACAATGGAAAGAGGAAAATCGTCAACCTACTTGACAAGAAGTATCAAGTCTCTCTCTAGTAGTTGTCATATTTGGCTCAGAGGAAGATGGTTTAATATAGCCAGTACTAGAAAATGATGATGATTTTAAAAAAACAGAAGACATGTTATTTAAAGACTAGTATAAGATAGTATATGATAGTCCATCAGATAATGCTTAAAAGGTTTTACTGCATGGACAATTCCGATGATGTAAAGGACTGGTGTAAGAAATGTACAACCTGTAATATAAGTAATGAACTCCATGCCCCCATGAAGCAGTACGATATATGTAGCCCATTTGAGAGGATTGTCTTAGAGATTGCTGGACCATTTTCCATAACCGAGGACGGTAATAAATACATGACGTTGGTTATATATTATTTCACGAAGTGTGTGGAAGTCTAGGTCATTCCAAACCAAGAGGGAGCAACTGTTAATAAATTAATCTATTAGTCGATTTAGAGTGCTCTTGGAGATCCCACAGTGACCAAGGCAGAAATTTCAAGAGCCATGTTTTCCGAAGAATCTGTGACATACTAGGCATGAAGAAAACCAGAACTACGGCATTGCACCCACAGTTAGATGGAATAGTAGAGCGAAATACCTGTCAGAAGTGGTTTACAACCATCAACTAGATTGGGACAGGATTTTTCGCTCTTCGTAATGGCATATAGATCCGCCGTCAATGAATCTACAGGCCAAACACCAGCAAAGCTGCTGTTCGGACGTGAGATTAGTGTTTTCACTGTAAGATTTTTAAAAAATTGCAACTCATGTAACAATTCTGTTGCGTTTAAGTCACGCTCATTGCGAATTTTGTCCATTAAAAGTTCAAGCTGTAAACAACAATTCAGTTGCTCATTTTCTGATCAATAAGTCGAAACTTTCACTAATTTATGTTATAAGGATATCAAGTGTTGTACATAGTCATAGATCGTATTGCATTGGTACTACAAAACATCATTACTAAAACATAAAAAGATACCTAGCTAAATGACAACCAAAATTATTTAGTTACATTCAGGGCAGCCGAGAGCCAGGCCGGGCCCCAGGACAATTCTCTAGATCGGGCCCCGTGACAAAAAAATCTTTAACCAAAAACTGTTCCTCTTCTACTGAAATAGAATTTTTTATTAAAGTCCTCAGCCGAAAAATACTTCTCTAGGCTAAAAGTTTTCCTCTACTTGTATTTAATTTTAATTTAAACTTAACTTCCCTTTCATCTTGTGTCAATTTCTCATGCAGAACA